GATTGAAAATGAGCAGAGAGTCAATATGAAATTCTTTTTAAAATTGGGTAAATTGGCATTGGAAACCCACAAAATGCTCACAGTTGTGTATGGAGATAAAGCTGTAACTCGAAAGACAGTGTATGAGCAGTTTAAGCATTTTCGTGAAGGGCAGCAAAGCATCGAAGATTACCCTCGGTCTGGCAGACCGTCGACGAGCAGAACGGCAGCACAGGTCTACAGAGTTTGTGAGTTATTGATGCAGGATCGGCATTTGTCTGTCCGAATGATGGCAGAAGAATTGCATATTCCGTATGAAATCATTACTGAGGTTACCGAGTTGTCCCACCTTCCATATTCTGGCCCCACCAGATTTCTTTCTTTTTCCAAAACTGAAATACGCACTGAAAGGGCACAGATTTTCCAACATTTCACATGTCCAAGCTGCTGTGACGGAACTGAAAGCAGTACGAAAAGAGGACTTCTCCAGAAGTTTCCAACAGTTCTATAAACGTTGTCAACAGTGCATTGTATCAGAGGGGGCCTACTTTGAAGGCCTGTAAGGTATGTATGTTAGAATATTTCTCACTGTCCAATTTCTGTGACCATTCACCGAACTTTCCGGTCACACTTTGTATATGTTCCTCTTTGATCCGTTCATGTCCTTCTTTTGAGTGTTGTTGCTGCATCCTCAAAGTTCAGCTAAAGAGCCCTGCACATTGTGTTTGTTCTGGAGATGTTTGCATAAAAAGACTGTACATTGATGCTTGTTTATACATTCCAGGACTGAATGGAAGCCGGAGTTTGCTAGCTTTTTCAAGGTTACAAATGGCCGAACTAGCTGCTTTAATATCAAATTCTGTTTAGAAACCCAGAAAGCAAAAGATTTGTATTAAAGATCTATACTGAGAGAGACTTAGAAAAACATCAGGGTATTATAGCCGTCCTTGAAAATAGGATATCGTAATGAAATTCTGACACATTCTGTTAACTTGTGCTGTTTCCCTGTAATGATAGCACTTGATCCTGGTTCCTTCGTTATTATCATTCCACACTTCATTGCAGATGATCTGCTTTAAATAGGTGATTACAATATCTCCTTGGCAGAAAAAACAGCAAAACTACTTCTAGCCACTTAGTCCCTTGCGCTGACATTTCTCATGGAAAGCCTCTACACTTTATACAATGGCTTCATTTTCCTAATGATTTTTGCTGCCTACATACAGGTTATTATTGTATTCTCATGAACCTCAGAAATACAAAATGCAGGATGGCACAAGGACTTCTTTAATGGGTTGTATGTGCATTAAATAGCTCAAGCACATACCTTGCTGCTCTGTATTACGTGCCTGAATCCTGGCAATACAAAGTCTTTCATAGAAGAATTATTGAGACAACACAATAGTAGTAATCTTATCCATAATGCCCATAAGCTGATTTGGAGCTTGATTCTAAGCATGTTTACTTGAAAATGATTCCCACTAAATTCAGGGGGACTTCCTTCCTGGTAAGTGTACTTGGGCTTGCTGCCAAGTTGTCGTTCTACACACACTCAGGACTCTGTCATTCTAAACACAGTGGGACTTAACTTCCCAATAAATATGAATAGAACCGGGCTGCATTTCTGTTGATTTTTAACTGGGTTGTGAATGAAGCTGGGAGTTTTAGTGTATACGTATCTGATAAAAAAAAACCCTTTCTTTTAAAATAACCTCTGATCCTTTAAAAAGTTACCTTTGGACATTGCACAATGCCTGTGTTTGTATATCATTGGTGGAATGTAAATGCACGCTGCATGGGTGTGTGAGAGAGATAAGATACTTTTATAAATAAACTTCAAAGATTATTGATCCTTAGCAGCAATTTCACTGTCTATATTGTAGTTTCCATTACAACCTCCGCATTGTAATAAAGATCAGTCTTGCTGTAGCGTTCCTCGATTCCTTTACTCCTCTGGGAGTTTGTGATTGGCAGGCGTTACATTCAGTAATCTATTTTGCTGGCGAATGATTAGTATGCAGTGCGTAATCAAATGGAATAAATAATACTTCCCAATTTAAGAAACGGAAATTATTTGGAATAGGTGAAGGGTATTTTTTTTAGTAGTGTACTAATTCCATCTAATGATTATTTATGTTAATATGCCACTGCTTATTATTACCTAAGTTGTTTAAGAACTCAATATATTCCAAAAAATACAGCTTAGCCTCTGGTACACTTTTGTTGCACAGTAACTAAGCAACTATTGTAGATTTTTTCAACAGAGTGCTTTTCCACAGGCAGAAGGCCACATGTATCTCATTTTTATAAACACTTAAAAAAACAGCTCTTCTGTAAGTTGATCTAAATATATGTCTTAACTGTTCAGCAGAGAGAGCTGCATGAGGATCACCGCCAAGGATGCTTGAAAATAATTACCATGTATCTAAACATAAAACATTGGGAGCAGTGACAGAATATAGAACCTGATTTCTCCAACAATCCAGAGTATGGTGTGCCCTGTGGTATGTGCATAGCCCTCCTGCACACGCCTGGCTTCCCCATTCAGCTCAATGGAGGTGTTAGCTCTGTGTGCACATTTTTGGAGCGCTTAAGGAAGTCCTTGAAGGCAGGCAGGAAGCTTGTTACAATGCAGTGTTAAGCTTCTGTGTACCTTAAAGGAACTTTTTGGGTCAGGGAAGTGGTATGCAAAATTCCTATCATTGGTTTCTGGCAGCTTGCCTCTGAATCTTACAAGTTAGCGGAGAGGTGGTTCTGCATGAAGGATCCTGCTGATGACCTTCAGCTTATTTTCCATATTATTTACTCAGAGCTATAAACGGTAAATAAACACAAAGAAAGATTCATACCGTCTATGAGCCTATTTACGTTTTCAGTTGGCATTTTATTGTTAAAACAGGGTCTTGGGGACTAGAGTAAAAGGTGTGCTAAACAAAATTGGAGGATTAAATACCTACATGCTTTTAATTAAATAAAGTTTTATTGATTGAAGGGGTAGGTTGCTTCCTGAGGACACCTGGCTTTTCAGTCTTGGGTCTTGTTTACATGTCTGAATTGTAGAACGGGAAGGAGCCTGCTGTGGTTCACCTTGCAAAGCAGTGGGGGGGGGCGCACTCATGCACCCCAGTACAGGAGAGTGGGCAGCAGTGTTACCCCCCCCACTCTCCTCTCTCTGCCAGAGCTGCTGGGCTGGCCGCGAGGAAGCAGTAGCAGCCTCTCTCCATCCCTGACCTGACCCAAGGATGGAGTAGCCGCAGCTGGGCGCCTTGCGTTTCTGCAGCCTCTTTCCTCCCCCAGGTCACGCTTGACCTGGGTATGTAGTAGCTGTGGCCGGTCATGGCGCGCATCGCAGCCTCTCTCTGCTGCAGCGGAGCTGTGCATGCTGCAGCCCAGCCAAGGAGAGGGGCAGTAGCTCTCTGCCAACTCTTCTCTACTCCACCCCCGGGTCAGACCTGACCTGGGAGCAGAGCCGCAGCTGGATGCAAGGAAGCTTGCCTCACCAGCTCCCTTGCATACCAGAGCCATGCTCCAATTGGATCCTGTTGTGGGGGCACCTGGTCGCCCCCCTCTCCTGAAGATGTACCTGGGGCGACGGCTTCCCCAGTCCCCCCACGCTACGCCACTAGGAGGCAGCAGTTACGAGTTTCTGTGATTCTCCAGCAGTTTAACTTCACCCCACAGGCACACTCCATAGTCTTTTGAGACAGACAGACGCCAACAATATAGCACTATCCAAGTTTGTGGCTGGGACGCGGGTGGCGCTGTGGGTAAAAGCCTCAGCACCTAGGGCTTGCCGATCGAAAGGTCGGCAGTTTGAATCCCTGCGGCGGGGTGCGCTCCCGTTGCTCGGTCCCAGCACCTGCCAACCTAGCAGTTCGAAAGCACCTCCGAGTGCAAGTACTAGCGGGAAGGTAAACGGCGTTTCCGTGTGCGGCTCTGGCTCGCCAGAGCAGCGTTGTCACGCTGGCCACGTGACCTGGAAGTGTCTCCGGACAGCGCTGGCCCCCGGCCTCTTGAGTGAGATGGGCGCACAACCCTAGAGTCTGTCAAGACTGGCCCGTACGGGCAGGGGTACCTTTACCTTTACCTTAAGTTTGTGGCACTTTACAAAGAATGAGAATACAACTCCACATTTGTGTTGCATGTGAATGTTACAGGAAGGACAGAATGCAGTAGAGAAATTGGAATGTGTATTCTATTCAAGGAAGGTCTTACATTTGCATCACGTACCGATTTAAACCCCTGCATATGAATATGACCTTGGGCTAGAGACAGATTCTTGTTTGCTCAGCTGAAGGAGGCTTGAAAGGAAGGCTTTCTTGTTGTGTACTCCCAACACTGTTTGGTTTTGCATGCTTTTGTATTGTTTCAAGATGCTACACTGACCAGCTTCAGATGTAACACTAAACCTCTTCTCATCTGTCATGAAGGGATTTCAGACTTTTACTCCTGTTTTCAACTAACCGCAGTTTAGCATTACATCCAAACCCTAAACTGTAGCTAATCATAACCACAGTACAGGGAAACAAGCCAACTTCATACAACAGTTGAAGGTTAGCTTGTTTTCCTAAACCAGGGATGGAGAACCTGTGGTCCTCCAGATGATTTTGAACTCCAGCTCCCAACAGTCCCAGCCAGCATGGCCAATGGTCAGGTTTGATAGGAGGAAGCCTTTACTCCATTAAGTATCATGCCCCAATCCTCCCCTCCCCATCCCAGGCAGAGCAGGACTTTGGAGCGATATTATGTGTCAGAGGAGTTAGAAGAAGCCCGCAAGCTGCTTTGTTGTATTATTTTGTGTAAGCCACCTTGGGGATCCTTCTGGATCAAATGATGGGATAGAATCAAATACGTAAACAAATGTTGACTCTACTCCTCTTCCTCTTCATTTCCTAGTTCTGGCCATTTGCTATTGCTGAAGCCAATCTATTTTTTTAAAAAAGAAAACTCTGCTGTCTTGGTGTTACTGTTTTTTAACCTGTTGTTAACTGAACTGGAACAGAATCTTCATCTTTCTTTAGGTCCTCCAGTGGCGTGTACAGCAGGAAGAGGCTTCCCGACTAGAAGCTGCTATCGCTGCCAGGAGAAAGAAAGAAGAAGATGAAAAAGAGAAGTTTCACAAGGAGAAAGAAATGCTTCAGAGAGCAGAGGACAAAGAAAAAGTACGCAAAGTGTGTGGTGTGTGTGTATGTGGCATGTGTTAAACGGTTAAATACATTTAAAGCGTTAATTGATCTTGATACTTTATACCCTTGTAAACAGTCCCTAACATTATTACAGAGATTAATGAGTGCTTAGTGGAGGTCTGCCAGGGCTTGTTGTAGCTTGAAAACTCCATGCCATTTTTACTGTGATCATACCAAGTTTGTTTAATTGGCATTCTTATTAATAGCACAGTTCCAGGCATATGCATGTGTCTCCTACACTGTCACAGAGAGGAAATAATGTCTGGCAGGTTTTGCTGTCAGGAGCTAATGTGGCAAAGACCGCTGTGGTTCCCAGTGCTGCAGCAAGGTATGCTGCAATGCACCAAATAAGCATCACAATGTAATGTCTGCACACTGCAATTGGAGCATCACAGAGACAGCTTCAGTGAACAGCGGGCCTGATGCCCAATGCCTGTAGTAAGGGAGAGAAGAAAAGAAAAGTGGATATTACTCCATATATCTGAATTAGCATTCATTTTGCTGAACACTGGGGGAGGAGGAAAAAAAAGGGGGGAGTACCATAGGAAGTATATGTTCTGCTTCTTATCTGGATTCCATTTCCAGCATTGTAGCTACTAAGTAAAAGTTGTTTTCACAAAGCAGTATCCTGTTCATTATGGGGGGGGGGCAACCTTTTGAAAAGGGAACTTTGTAATAGCAGCCCTTTAGCTTGGCTTTCCAGGTTTTAACCGTACAGCTTAATGTATTTCTTTCCTAGTCCCTCATAAGCAACATAAGCAGGCAAAACATAGAGCTCAATCTTGTACTATTTGGCTGTTTTATACAAATAAAAAGAGTAACTGCATCCAGACAAGAAGCACCTTTATCACTACTCCTGAGGTCTGCATGGATGTTATCACTCCTGCATTTTGCTGCATGCAAATGATTTGTTCCTGTACAAATGTATTCGGCTATCGAGGAAAAGCAAGGCAAATCTAATTATTTCACAGGAAAGTGTTGCCCCCGTTCAGTAAAGCTCATTTGTTTTAGGCATTTTGAAATATGTGACAAGAGGAAGACTAGCAAGGGCTGTCTCCTGTTGTTTTATTTACATTTCTAAATCCACTGTTTTAGAAGCAGAGTATATTAGCAAACAGAACTTGAAATATGATTTCCCCCTGGCTAGGATCCAAAGGCATTGGACAAGCACTTCTGTGTGTGCATTCTGGGATATCCTTGTTTTGCTTTATTTCTTCCCCCCACCCTGCACCCTGCTACTACTGCAACCATTACTACTATTACTATTACTAGTGTTTTATGATATCCTTCCAGCAATTCCTGCAGCCAAGCTGGTGCCAGATCGCCAGATCTATTGTTATGCTTTCCTTTGGACCACATCAGCAATGAAGAGGGGGGGATTTGTCGTCTGGGCAGCCTAGGACCTCCAAACACAATGCCCCAGCTTGTGCCCCATAGAGGTCACTTCAGTGCTGTTAACACAGGAAAAATAACACAAGAGGCAGCAGTTATGAGTTACTGGTCTCAACAGCCACAGCAGGTGCTGTGATTCCGCCAGCAGTTTGACTTCACCTCTGGAAGCACACTCCATTGTCTTTCGAGACAAACGGATGTCAACAGCAACAACTCCATAAGTCAGCAAACCATACTAGGTTACCACGAAATGCTTTCAGATTATGTCTAGAATGTATCATTTTGGGAAACTAAGTAGGCCCAATAAAAATACGTAAAAAAAAACCATTAGGGTATGTTGCTCCATACAGCTGGTGTGCTGCTACAGTTTGGAGTAGTAATATATATAATGCTGACCAGAGTTTTATTATTATTATTATTCAGGTTTATTCCAAAAAGACTGTTGACCCTACCAACATTTTATGAGAGAGTGTGATTTATGTATTGAACAATACAGCATAAAACAAGGCAATTAATACAATAGGACAGATTTTATTATAAGGCATAAACATGTCCAGTGATATTTAGCAGAACTGTGGTAGTAATCAGAGATACCAAGTTGCTGCTATCATCCTAATATGCCTATAAAATAGCTTAAATAAAACGCTACTTAAAATTAATCTATATTAGATTTCAACCCTGTTTGGTAAATGCTAATCTGCTGAAACTATCAGCGTTTCAGAAAATGCTTGCCTGATAGATTTGACTTGATCTATTGAAATACGTGCATTTAAAGTGATAGCTTTGGAAGCAATTGCACATAACAGCAAACACTTTGGGCAAGCTAAAACAATGCTGCAAGCTAGGTTTTCTTGTGCAAGCTGTAATTGTACAAAAAAGTCTCTGAATTTGTTTGTCAAGCCACTAGTTCTGGGTAGTTCCAGTAGCTTCACTGGAATTAATCTACTGAAGATAGCTGTCTTGGAAGGATTTAAAGAGGCATGAAGATATAATTTAGATGCTCCATGACTCTGAAGGTGTTAAGCAGAGCTCCTAAACAAGGTTGTAGATTCATCAGTTTTGTAGAGATCAAAGGTTGCAAGGAGGTTGACTGTCTCCTGCTTTCATTTGAAAGTGGCCACAAAACTCATGGGGTGCTGGATAAGTATTAAATCTAGTGAGATGTGCAGCTCTGAAATGTAAGTTAGCACCAGAGGCTTGCCACAGGACCTATCAACCCATAAAAATGGTGTAAGATGGCACTCTGACTTCCACATCAAGGAAACGCTGAGGCCAGCATTTTATCCTACTTTTATTTAATCAGCCCAGTAGATTTAGTAGATACCCAGTTAGAGTGGAGACTGCCATCTAGTGTAAGTCAGAGTGACTTTGAAAACCCTCAGAATATATAGTTAAGTCCTCCAACCACTGGGCTCACAGTAAAATGGACATGATAGAAATGTTCATGTTGTTTAGGATCTCGTAAAACACTAGGGAAAACCAAGGAATTATTTATGTACTTAAAATTCACCCCAGACATTTAACACATTCATTTGGATTCATTTGTGTGTGTGTGTTCTTTAATGAAGCTATTAATTTTGTTGGCTGTAAATTATTGATGTATATTTGCCATCTTAATTTTAACTGAATGATGCATCTTCTGTTCCTTTTACAGGGAAAATATTGTAAATCATATGCTTTTTGAGTTAATCACAGTTTTGCTCCTCTTAAGAATATTAAATGCATGCATATATATAAAGGGGTCCTTTACCTTATGTGAGAGCCCAGGATTCTGACAAAGTTGCAGTTTCTTCCTGGTAATAATTACTTGAGAAGACCCCATTTTTCTGCCAATTCACCTTGTCATTCCCATTTTTCATGAATGAATGAATCTTTATTTGCGTCAGCCATAGCAATAAAACAACAATACGATATACAAAGAATCGAAATAAAGAGTCAATTATATAAAATACATTTTAGGGTTTTGGCCCATTTCCCATGTGCAGAGAGTCTGGTCTGGATCGGTAGAGGACTAGTTCTCGTCTTAACAATGACCAGGAAAACTACCACATCGGTATATTTTGGTCATGTAGACCAGTTGTCCGACAAGCGTTGAGTACCTCTTGGCTTCACAAAACTAAAATCAATTGGAGGAGGCACTGAGCTCTGCTGTTATCACTCGCCCAAGGGTTGAGTCACACAGATGCAGTAATCTCTTGACATCAGTTGAAATTGCTCATTGAACTTCAATTGGGAACAACCTTTACAATTCATATTCTACAATCAGAAAATTCATCTATCCTCATTTTCTCCTAAATACACCTCCCAACCCGCCGAAAAACGTGTGACTTAGTGAACAGATGTGGTGGGGCATTCAAGTGGACATTGTACACTAAAAGAAGTATTGCTTCCAGGAATCCCATACTTTCCATCTATTGCCTTCTCAGAGAAGCCAATTCCTCCTCTAAAATCCAAAGGAATATATGCCCATTTCTAGTCACTGACCCAGGAGACCTAATATCCTATAATTTGGCCTGTACTTTGGTATTGCTTTCATTTAAATGTGGAAAATGCACCACATTGTTGTTTAATAATTGTATTTTAATTGAGACCATGACTGTCCAGAGATGGAGAAACAAAGTTGGGGTGATTGCTATTTCTTTGCTTCAAAGAAATGAAGAGTTTTAAAGAGCAGGGGAAATTGGACACCCCCTCCCTTTTGAGTTTATTCAAGAGAAAAATCGGTTCTTTCAATTTAATTAAGCTTTGGTTTATCTCTGTGTAGACTGATTTTTTTTTCACAGCAGAGGCGGCACTTGTCCTATTAATTAGCCTTTGCTCAGAGCAAACATCCATAGTTGTTGAATGTCATTCTATAAACATCACAGCCAAATTACCAGCTATGAAATATGGTAGAGTTGTTTTCTATATATCTTCTCATATTATAGTACTGGCTCTTGCTTTCATTGGTGCTAGTTTTGTTCGGATAGTTCAAATGTTGCCAGTTTCTCTTATTCTGCTTCCTTTGACTTCTGCTTCCAATTATTCTGGGTGTGTGTGTGTTTAAGAGAAAAGCAAAAGAATCCAATGGACCATCATTGCATTTGTTGCCTTTTCTGGTCTCTTTCATTCACATGCTCATATCTAGCATGTATACCTCCGGGTGTTTTACTGCTATTTAAATATTGCTCTTTTCTGGATGTGTGGAATGAAACTCTTAGATCAAAGATAACCTGCTTCCTTCTTGATGTTTGCAGGGATAAAGCCGTCTGTAATGCCTGCCCCTAAAAAGGATGGAAGAGCAGAATGCTATAGCAAACACTGCCATACCTAGCAATTCCTCAAGCCAGTTTCCCCCCTCTTCTGTTTGAGAATGTGGAATGGACACTTAAATTGCTATCTTGCTATGGGCAAATAAAACCGTTATTATTGAAACCAAAATTGCCTTCTCACAGTGATAGAAGCCTCCTCCTTTTCAAATTTCCTTTTGTGTTCTTTCAAACCTTAGGTGAAAAGGTACTGGGCTGAAAAGCAGCGCAGGTGGAAGGAACTGGAAGCAAAAGATCTTCTGCGTTTGGCAGAATTCAAGAAATTATTGGCTCAACAAGTCATTAAAGATAAGAAAAGGTAAAGTTATAAACAGAATCCTCATGCGGATTATTGACTCATGGTTGGAGAGCAATTTTTAAAAATCTTGTTTTGTTTATTTCATAAAATTTATAAAACATAAAACAACCTCAAAGAAATACTTTTTAGTTTTATTTACTGATTTTTTTCCTTTTAAAACTGTTTATTATTTTTATTTAGCATGGCTCCCCAATATAAACACTTTTAGCTTTCAGCCCAATGTACCTGGGGGTAAGCTTTCCTGAACTCAATGGGGCTCAGGGCAGTGATGTTAGTAGTTCTTCGCTTTTATACTTTTCCCTTCTTCTGTTGCTATGAACCCGAGACAAGTCAGTGCTAGGTCTTCTCATGATGTAGGGATTCCTGTGAAGTAAACAACCATCATGCATATTTTCCATGCAATGATTTATATTTTGATTTGTTTTTCCTGCCCTCCTGTGAATGCATTAGACCATTGCTTCATCTGGCCCAGAGGTGGAGAACCTGTGGCTCTCCAGAGATCGTTGGAGTACAACTCTCATGATCTCTAAGCACTGCTTAGAGAGTTGGGGGACACTCAGGTTCCAATGACATCTGGTGTGGCCACAGGTTCCACACCTCTGTTCTAGTGCCTTTTTTATGTATGAAAACTGGCTGTAGCTCTCTTCAGAATCAGGAGACCTTTTTTCTCTCTGCAATAACTATCCTGTAGCTTTTGGCTCACAGCATCCACATGATTGTAGGCTATGCAGAGATCAGCTTTCAAATTCTGTCAGCTTCCATTCAAAGGAAGGGATACCCTGCAGCTTCCCTGTGGCTCTGATAAGGCGGCCTAGCTCCTTTTCTGAAACTCTTTTTTATTATTACAATTCTTACAGCAAGCAAGGAACATTAAATGTCTCTATTTGGAAGGCAATGCTGGATAGTAACCCACCTCTGTTGCATCTTGCTGAGCTGCTTGTTATAGAAATAATTTGCCCTTTCTTTAGACTATGCCTTGTGGTTTTTTCCCTTCATTGCGGCTGTCAATCCATTTGGGGACTGAGAGACTTTTATCTGCAGGTTTTGCCCAAGGCCAGTAAAGGGTCAGGCACGCTGCCTAAATGTTTTCTGTAGTGATCATAAAATAAAATAAAAACTAAGAACCACAGCGATGACAGCAGTTCATACTTAGATGTTGAATGGGAAAAGATGTCTTCAGTAATCCCTTCAATTGAGTGAAATACTTGCCTAATGATCCAGAGTTCAAAGGCTTCAGGCTGTGATCAGTGTCTGAGAATTAATGTCATTGATTAATATAAATGTGTTAAATTGCTGTAATTTAAGCAGGTTACAACAAGGAGGCATTTAGGGGTTGTGAATGGTGTTGAAGCCTGCAATCCTCTACCCACCTATGTGGTGATTGAACTCCTATCTACTTCTGAGTAGATATGCATAAGGAGGCACTCTTAGGTTTTCTGCTTCCCTTTCCTCACACAACCAGGGCAGCCGGTCTACATTAATTTTCATTGGTGTCCACCACACCTGAGTGTTGCAACATCCAGCTCCCCCTGGCTGCCTCCACACCATCACCTTCTGGCTGCCCTTCGAGATTTCAAAAGGAAGTTGCAGGATATGAAGCAGCATGACCGCCTCAAAATGAGCACAAATAATCAGGATTTCACAATATAAATGATGTTGGGAAGGGCCTGTTCTGTACATTATTGTAATGCCAATTTGCCCCCTTCATACCTATTTAAAACTATTTTTTCTTGAAGTCTCTACCTCTCTCTCTCTTTTTGAGTCTTTTCCATTCCTTTCATTTCTTTTTCTCTCTCTCTCTTTTCTTTTTTTTAAAGTGTGACAGATTTGATTCACTTTCCCCTCAGCAATTCACCTGCAGAATTCACCTGCAGTTCTTCCCAGCTCCAAATTTGAAGTATGTTGAATCTGCAGGGCAACTTATCTTCATTGATCTGCCTTTGAGCTCCATTCATTATATAACCTTTACTCTGAGGCATCAGTTCTGCTTAAAGTATTCACTTGTCAAAGCATTTCCCTCCTGACATGGAAAGCACACATTGCCATGATCTGAGGATTTGGTTCATATTCATGTTTAAAGTGTCAGATGAGCGATGGATGTGAATTCTGCACTTGGTACCTACAATCCCCATATAAGCTCTTCATGGGCACCCTAAATTAACAAATTCTGTGAATTTAACCCAGAACTATGCTTTTGTCAGGTTTCTGGGGGAATGTGTAGGATTCACACAGCTTCAAAATGAAACCTAGCCTTGAAGATATAATGAGATCCTTGGTAGGAGATTTTCTACAGAGTTTTGAGAAGCTAATTATTTGTGAATTGTAAAAGAAACACAGGCCATATTGAAAACAAGCTCCTCTCCCACCCCACCCTGCAAATTTCATTTTAAAAGTACATGTATGAAAGTATAAGCCAAGAGCCAACTCCCCATTTTGGAACTCCATCGCATAAGTTAGGAAATGGAATGTGAGATTCAGTTAAAAGGATTTGCTCTCTGTCCACGCATAAGCCAAAGCAAGGCTATGTCAGCATTATCTCTGGGCTAAGATCTAGGCTGTGATCCTATGCATACTTATCTGGGAGTAAATCCCATTGAATTCATTCATGAGATTGTTAATATCGCAAAGTTAGATTAATGTTGCTTAAGACTAAATCCTGTCTGCAGTTAATAACATTAATGATGCAAATAAGTAACGAGGAATCCATTGGATAAAGAGAATCCCTTGTTCTTCAGGTCTGGCAGGATACCATTTGGAGCAGCTGGGTCCTTGTTATCCCAGCTTATTAGCACTGGGTGGGAAGGGTCCAGGACAGGGTTATGTTGTTAATTGTGGGACCCATGCCATCACACTAACTCTCCCCATATACACTATACCATACATATTTAATGTGATGTCCTGTTTCAAGCCTTTCATATTTAGAGAATGCTATTGAGTGGGACTTCTAGCTTCATACTCTCCAGATCAGTTTTCTAGAGGCTTTCCTATCTGAATTTTGATCTGACCGTGAAACCGAGACTGCACCGGTTGTCTTGAGGAATGATCTTCACCTAGGAACAACGATGGCCTGCTGATGAAGTGTTGGCAACTCAGCTGCAAGACCTGGCAAGCATTAATAAGACTGCTCTTATGGAGTGCTACAAGTCCAGTCTTGCCTTCTGCCTGAAGCTGCCCGAATAAGCGATATTGTGCAGAGGTTTGTCTTTTGGAGGAATCGATGTGCTAGTGACAGCCACTTCTGCTTCCTTATTTCATACGGGTCTAGCCTGCAGCTTCTGGCCATTGTGGGGAACCAGATGCAGATAAGTGACTGAAGTTACACCCTGACAGGACGGAGGGTACTGCTGGTTGTTTGCTCTTGTAACAATCACTCCATCTGGCTTCAGAAAAAGGAAAGAAATGGGACTATAGGTCCTCTCCATTAGCTCTCCTGAAAGACCATCAACTTGGGACTACTCCTCTTCTTGAATTCTTTCCATTCCAACTGGTTGTTACAGGAACTCTGTAACATAACAAATAGTGCCTACGTTTGGGGTTTTTTTTACTTCCCTCCCTCCCACCTTCCAGTCCTCTTTCCTTTCCTTTTTAGATTATAAACCTGAGGACAGGGACTGTCTTATCAATGTCAGCTATAAGCTTTATTGGAAGCCTTTTTTCTGGCTGTACAGCAAAATAAAAGTAAATCAGTGGCGGTGGGTAGAAATAATAATAACAGATGGTGTTCAACCACGGCTAGTTTTTCATTTTTCAGCCTTAAAGTGTTTCTTGATCAGTAAGTTTGTGCGATTGTAGCAAATTTCCATATTTTGAGAACTGGCTCTCACCCATTCTATTCAGTCTGGGCCAAGCATCCATTAGTCATATAGTCATATATCTTCTTCAGTAAATAAGAGCATATATAACAGCACAGCACTGAATTCCGCTCTTAATTTCCACAGCAGTTTTTGGGCAGGTTGAACTTCCTTTGCCATTTCCCCTCCTAAGCAGTGGGGAAGCTCTCATTGTTTGTTACCTTCTTGATACCCTGCACAACAAGTCAGTCAGGACCCTTCCTCTCTTCAAGCCCTCTGTGTGTGCACCATGGACTTTGAGAAAGGGCCATAGCTTTGTCATAGAGACTGTGTTTTGCATGCAGAAGATCACAGGATCAATCCCTGGTTGCTCTTGAGATGGGGGTGGGGAGACTCCTGCCTGAAACCTTGGAGAACCTCTTCCAGTTAGTATCGGCAGTGGTAAGCTAGATAAACCCATGACACTTGCCCAGACACTTCCATTGTGAAATGTTTCCTCAGCTGGATAATATGCAAGAGAACATCTCACTGGTGCCTCAGTGGTTCCATGCTGTCTTCTAGACACAATTCCAGGTGCCAGTTTTGACCCATAAAACCTATACCAGGGTGAGTGTGATGTAGGCTAAAGTTTCTTTTTTTTTCTTTGTTCCATCATGGACTTTGAAGTTACCCATGAGTGCTTGAACTTTATTAAGCATGCACCAATTTGAGTAGTCATCTCAAGGGCTGCCCACAATTGTGAGAATAATTTCTCCCCTAAGGGCCCCCCCCCAAAGTCTTACCCCAAATACCTGTAAGAATACCCTGTTTGGACTAGCATTTAATAGCCAGGTTTAAGAAAGTGAGATGTAACTTTTATTTTCCATAACTAAATGTTCAGTTGTGTCTAAGGTGCGCAAGAAGTTACTGTGACTCAGGACCAGTAGAAAGCACGATGATTTAAAGAGATTATTCCATTGTTATGCAACCCTAGTCGGCTGGCTGGCTGTAAATCAGATAGGGAACAAGTAGCTGCCTGATCTCACTGAGTCTGAGCGTTTGTGTTTGTGAGAAATGATAAATTCACAAATCAAGTTACAAGGTTTGAATCAGTGCTTTGGATATATCTCAGTTGTGATCTTCTTTTTCTCCATGACAGGAGCACAAGCGGTTCTGTAATCTTTAATTTACCAAATCAATTATGTTAAAAATTCAATCCATAATATTTTAAAATATTTATTATGCCATACATGGCAACAGCCTATCATGCAAGATATGTTGTTGGGAAGATCAATAATTGGATTTCCCAGTGGTTTTGTTTTTACTTAAGCCGTGGTAGTGTGGAGTGGAGAAGCTACTATTGGTTCTGCAAGGGAATTATTTCCCTGAGAAGGATGGACAACATCTGTGGGTATGTATGATTTAGATGAAGAAATACATATGAGAAGCAGTTAAAGATCTCCCACAGCTCTGCTCTTCCAATCATATTTTGAGCTCCGTTGCTGCTTTTATGGGTTTAAAATATATATATATTAGTTCTAAGAAGTGTTATAAAATTGGATAAAGGATGTTGCTCTGGCCTAGATAACTTTTACCTAAGAAAGAAGTAATGAGCCAATGGCAAATAGGGGTTCAAACTGTAAAGGACCCGAATATACAGAATAAAACTGAATTTAAAAAACCCTAATTGTAAGTGGTTGTTGCATTAGTAGGTTTTTCTAATCTCATCCACTGTTGAATCAAGTTATGTGGTTTGTTCAAAAATCAGAGTAGCCCTAGGGCTTGTGTCAACCTATCCTTGCATTCATAATGTTACCTGATGGCACAGAGGAAGTGGTTACTGTTGATTCTGTAAGTAGGGTGGCTATGATAACTGGGATAGTGGTATCCGCTTAGGAAGCATAACATTTCTGTGCTGGTAAATGGTAATGTAGTATGCAGTATATGCACATGTGTGAATAACATACTGGGTCTGTTCGTAATGATTCTGACACAGAATTGTTCCTTTAGAGTAAAGGCTTAATTGATTTGGAGTATGAAGTAGCTTGGAGTATGGGCTAATTGCTAGCCAAGCAAGGTTGTAGATGCTAAGCGTCTGATGTTGCTTTAGGAAGCTGAATAGGGCTAAATGCCCTGTTCCTTGTGTCTGGGGAGTGCTCTCCGGGCAAAGAAAATCAAAGTCTCTTTCATTGCTGCAGCTTATAGTATCACATCAAGCGCCAGCCTTTTGATGTATGCACTTGCCAAACATTCTTAACAAATTGAAGAGTATAGGAAAGTGTTAGAAGCTATAAAGCCATAAATAGGCACTATTGACTACAGTTCTAAGTAATCCCATGTATTGCTTTGGGGAGATTTCAGACGTATTTAATAGGTTATTTTTCAAAATCTAGTTTCGAAAACAATGAATCGTAATAGGTAGGAGCAGAGGCTGAACTTAGCAGCAGCTGGGAAGGTGGTATTCAAGGGGCAGGAAGAAGTCACCACTGCTATTGAGCAGTGGTGGAATGGATTTCATATATGTAGTAGATATGAGGCAGCAGTGGAAACTGACATCATTGCTCATGCTGGGCACTCTTACCCAGTTTGGCAGCTGCACACATATGTGGTGCAAACTCCAGCAGCTGCAGACCTCGCCATTCCTTCTGTCTCTTGCTAGTAAGAGTCTCTGATCTTCCTTCCCGCACAATGCTGGCTGGTGCCCATTGGGACTGGTGGAGTGAAAGGCAAGGAGGTCAACAGTAGGTGGAGCTAGAGTCATTGGCAGGTAGGGCTAGCTTTTGTCCCTAACCTCCTCCCTGCTGATTTCTACAAGGGCTGTTAAAAAGCAAGAGGGTGGGTTTGGAGGAATCAAGACTGAGGTGTTTAGCTTGCCCTAATGGACTAGACTCTACTGCTTCCACATAGTCTCTTCTCAGTGATGGCAGACTCTTCTAGCCTTTGCCCACTTTTTGGCTCTGCCCCAGCCCACTGCTGGTTTCAGCACTACCTATTACCAGCATGCATTTCTGTATTTCTGTTGAAGAAATACAGCCCTCAACAGAAAAGGTTACCCAAGGTAGGTATGCAAAACTGGAGTCTTAATCATTTGATCCAAATTCTCAAACATTCCACAGAAGCAGAATGATCAGCGATGGCAATGGAAAAGCTTTCTTGAATCTCTCATTTTCTCTTTGTCTGATATCATAGTTTCCCTTTTGCTGTACCTCTATGAATATTTATTTGAGTCAAAATAGGGAAGAGCTTTCTTGGTGAAATATTGTACATATTATAAACGTGTCCATAATGATCTTTTAAAGCTCTTACAATAAACATGGTCCCAAAATTTCCTGTTAAATATGTATGAGACACATTCTGTAAGCCATTTTAATGAAATTATGCTTATCGGAAATTAAATGAATGTGTATTCACAGTGCTTCAAAAGGTGGCATTACTGAAACCAGTAAACTAAGCTCATTATTCAACTTGGTTGTTTTTTTAAAATGTTACTTAACCACAATACTTAGTTAAAACTGGCATGGGGGGAAGGAAAGGTCTGATTATGCTTCACTCTCACACTAGGAGATTTCTTTGAAGCAGAAGGAACAACATTATTTCAGGGTATAAGAAAACCTCTGTAGACCATATGAAAAAGTGTGTTAAGCAATGCCATTATGATGTTCCTCCAGGTGTATAAGGCACACCTACACAACTGACATGTTTGCAGTCCTTAGATTGCCCTTGTGTCTTGTCTCCCTAGAAGAATTTTCATATATTCATCTAATTTCCCTCCCACTTTCTGGTAACTTCATTATATTAACACCAGGCTTTGCTGCTCACTGGTCAGCCCCACACCCCCTTAAATGTAGATGCTGTTGGAGTGAGCCAGAGCCAAAGTAGATGTGATGTTAATTGTATGAATACTTACTCTTTCCCTGCTATGGTTTTAACAAAACCCACCTTCCCAAAGCTATGAAGCACCAATGACAGCTTCCTTTTAAATGCAAATAGCAGCTTCCCTGGTGTGAAGGGCATTTGTTTAGGACCATTACGCAACCATGAACTTCTGGTAACTTTTGTCACACAATCCTTTACTTCTGGTGGCCCAGAGATGCTCTCCCATTTCATCACATTACAACTTGGTCCACATTATTGCTATGAGCCAGCCCTGAGTCTATGATAGGAGTCCAAATATTGCCTCCATGTATCTGAAAAGCAATCATTTGTACACAGTCAGTTTCTTGCTTTTGTAATGATCTACAGATGTCAAGAGTTAATCTTAAAAAAAAAAAAAGATCCTTCAGACATTACTTCCATCAGTCTCAAGATTTATTTCCAAACAGGACATTGCTAACCAAGTAGATTAGAACAGAAAACAATAAGAATGGCTATTAAGAATGTGAAAAATATTGAGAAGATGCAGCCATCATTCTTTCAGCTCTTCTGCAAATATTTAGTGAATTTAGTACAGTGATGCAAGGTCAATGAATACTAATCACTCCAAAAACTAAGAAATGTATCTGTGATTGTTGAAAGCTGCCCAAATAGGATAATCAGCTATTTATTTTGACATTCACACAATTTATCTGGGATTGTCAGCATCCATATGTGATTTTGAACCTTTTACCAAATTTAGAACATTCACTCTACACACCCAAATCTAAGAAAAGTATTGATTCAATTGTTGCTTCTGAATAAAATCTTAATTGTTCCTAATTAGGGATCTGGAAGGATCTGTCAATCTTGGTTCTTCCAATTTCTCATTTTTTAAATCTTAAATTCATTTCTCTCCATTTCTGGGGCGATTTTTTTAAATTGTAGAAATTCGTCAGCATAGAAATTCTAATACACATATTTTTTTTTCAATTTTGACTAATGTACAAAGTTTTGCAAGCAATTGCCCCTTGTGAACATGATTTAGTTGGAGAACTACATCGCAAAATTCAAGTAAATTAATTTTGAAGGATGTCTGTGTCATATTTTGCTTCTCATGTTTTTTCAAAAAGTGCAGATTTGATATGTTCTCCTTTAAATGTGAACTGAAATGAATTTCTCCCCCTCCCATCCCTACATAAAACTATTAAATAGTATTAGAAGACAGATCATTGACTTCATGTTTTCCTGTTCAAAGAGTTCAGTTTAGACAAAAGCTTTTGGAACAGCGCTTGATGGAGAAAAGAGAAGCAATACTCAAAGAAGCCCATGAAGAAGAAGAAAGGAAGAGACGTCTTGATGCTCTCAGGCAACAGGTATCTTTTTAATTGTATAACCTGAGTCTTTTTATGTGCAATTTGAGGTAGCAGTCTCTCAAGACATAAAAAAGGGCTCCTCAATCTTTTTAGTATGTTTCATCAATTGTAGTTTGGTTTGTATCTGTGCATGATCATTGCTAGATTAATGCATGCAGCAGACGCTGTTAACAGTGAAATCTAAAAATAGTCTTGGGGTAGAATTCAGCACCGCGCCATTACAGACATCGTATCTGTGCAAGCAGAACAGCTTGTCCAGATAGATTGATACCCCCTCCCCTCACCCCATGTACTGTTCTGGGGGTTCCCACAGGTCATTCAGGCAGCCTGTTGATGAGGTTCACTAGGTGAATTCCACCGATAGTGTGCCCCCCTCCGCAACGTGTATGGATCTAATAGGCTTTTCTAGAAGATAATTTCCACACACTATGATCACCCCACATTTTCAGTTTCATTTTGTTAATATGAGAAAGAGCAGCAGTAGATAAGTATCTACTCATAAAGTGGAAAGCACCGTACTTTTCCGTGTATAAGACTAGGGTTTTTTTTTACTAAAAAAAATGTTTAAAAAGGGGGCTAGTCGTATACACAGAGGCAATCTCCCCCCATTTTCTAAATGTTGAGTCCCCAAAAATAGGGGGCGTCTTATACACGGGGGCGTTATACACGAAAAAATACGGTACCTTGATAAAATGGACAGGGAATGTTTTGTACCATGTTCTTCTACCTTCAACCAATCCAGATTATCTCTTTATCTATGCCTTTAAGTGCTAGGAATTTTTACACAAATTGCCAGTGAAGGGGCCTTTATATGGATTGGGAGCCTTGAATGGGTTGGTAGAGGGCTTTAATCATTCCCCCCCACCTGGGTCTGAAATTGAATTGGGGTTGGGCATATGGGCACATAGCGGGGAGATGTCGTGTCTGAGAGCATAGCAGGTGCCTGCCTGATCATCCATCCATCCATCTCATCTAATGGACCAAGTCTTACAGCTTTGAAAGTGGGAAATAGAATGAAGGCTGATAGGTAACTTTAAAATGTGCATAAACTTTCAGCAGCACAGATTGGTCCAATGCAAGGGGTCAGCTTCCTATATTCTTTGCAGTATGCATTTTTAAGGGAACCATTTGTATGGGTGGGAAATAATTTTGTGATTTCCTATTAACTTCCGCATCTTCCCCTCCTCTCACCTAAAATGAAAGTCTGACATAATGGATTTTATACATCCTTTATACTCAGCTGTCACCAGCATGATTCAGACATGTTCCCCAGGATTTCCTTGGGTATGGTTTTCAATCTAGAGCGTTTGCAAACCAGAATGAGTCTCCACCCCAACAGTTTGAAAGCTTGTTGTAGTCACTACAGACTGCTTGAATGATGTGTGGAGATGCAAATGGCATTAAAACACACAATTAATAGTTTTGGTTAGTTCTTGAATATAATGTTTTGGGTTGGCAGCATTTATAGTTTTTGAAAAAGGAGAATGCTTAACTTCTCTGTAAGAAACATATTCCTTCATTCTTCCAGTAAACCCAGTTACTTGAACTGTGTCAGAACTAAATGCCAAGAGCACAATTCTATGAATGTTTACTTAGAAGTAAGTTCCATTGTGGTCAGTGGAACTTACTCTCAAGGAGGTGTGCATTGAAATGAAGCCAAAATAATGTTGCTGATTGGTCGGAGACTGCTTAGGAATAGACAGAAGTTGCCTGCCACTTCACTTGTGACTGTGTGAACCAAGCGAGAAGATGCAGGAAAATGTGCTACAATTTCTGTGTTGAACATAACATACGGCTGGGAATGCAGAGAGCCTAGAAAGGGCTTTGCCCAGCATACCTGTTTATATGACTGTGGGCCAGATAGTTATGGAGGCTGAACTCAACAAGCATAAATCAGTACCAAAGCTATTATAAATCCCACTTCTATATGTGAACTCATGGGTACTTATACCTGGGAAAGTGTCGGTCGCTTAAATTACTTTGAGCTGAAAGGGCCAGGCTCATTGAATGCTGTTTTAACCACAAATGTTTTTGTAAATAAGCCAGACAAAAGGCACATCCCTGTAATATTTCAAAAGCTGGATGGAGAATTTAAGATTCATTCCAGCCACGTGAGTGTATAACAGCATGCAGTGCCTAGTTTCTTCTTTCCTGACCTAAGATGACTGCATTCTTTTTGCATTTGCCAGGAGTATTTTCCTGATCTTTTTTTCAAACAAGAAGTTAAAGTAGAGCTTGTTTGGGTTTTTTCCAGCCTTTTTATGAATCTGCTGGAGTGTAATTATGTTTCTTGGTGTTACTCCTTTCAGATCATGACTCAATTTCTGTTTTCAGCTGGAGTCACCACATTGTCCCAGGTCTGCAATATGTCTTGTGTGGGGCAGGGTGGGAAATCAATGGGCTTTGGCTTGAAATTGCCTTTCACTTTTAAAATATTACACTATTTCTTAGTTTTGGAAGGTGTTTATTCATCAGGCCCTAGCCCACTCATCGGGGGAAACTAACCAAGTGCTCAAGTTGCATCAAAATATTAATTTGCCAAAAGCATTGGCGTGACTTTGATTCCCCCCCCCATGAGGTTTGCCTTTTGAAGTTGCAGGATGTGGTTGATTATCTAAATACTGATCTAGCTGTAGTTTATGAGTGCCATTTTTTTGCTGAGAGGCAAAGAGTGTCCTGGCTAAGGCCCTGTGGGATCCCATGGGTAGAACTGATAGCAGTCCTGCCTCCAAATAGATAACTGCTCAGCCTCCATTCTGACCACGTTATTAAAATTTTGCATGGCACATCTGAACTATGCTTAGGCAGGGAATATGTGCAGGCACAGCAGCAGCTATGGCTGCTGCAGGTGCAGCAGTACTAGGAAGAATCTTAGGTTCTAGGGCCAGATCTGAGGGGCAGGGGAGGGTCTTCTTATGCCACTGCTAGATCAGTTGCACTGGTTAATAAGCTAGCGGTCCAACAGAACCATTTGTCTCTGTGTTCATTCCCTTGTTTTTAAAATTACCATATTTTTCCGTGTATAAGACTAGGGTTGTTGTTTTTTACCAAAAAATTAGGTTTAAAATTGGGGCTCATCTTATCCATCGGGTGTTTTATTAATTTGGAGTCCTCCCAAAAAGGGGGAATCTTATACATGGGGGTGTCTTATATAAGGAAAAATATGGTAATTTGCAGTATCTTATTGCAGGTGATATTTTAAATGGTAACTAACAAACATAACTACAGTTTATCTCACAAAAACATAACAAATTGCTTCAAGCTTGACTGCATGGCTTAGATAAAAAGAAACAACCACCACAGACAATTTTAAATTAATTCTTTTCCTGCTAAGCATCCTTTCACAAGACACTACTTCAATAAGAACCCACATTTTAAACCTGCAGTTATTATTCTCACCAGTTAACTGACTTGCGGTTTTTGTCATAACTGAATTGTCCCTTTACTGCTCTTGTCCCCTTGGCAGGCTTTACAGTATTGATCTATGTTTTGGTCCCCATGATGCCATCCTCTTATCTGTGACTTCAAACTGATACAAACAGGATCTGTTTCTGGAAAAAAAGCCACATCCAAACTACTCCCTGGCTTGCTCCTCAGTATTCTTTCTTGCATTAGTCACTTGATTAGATATGTCAGCAACTGTGCTCTACTTCAGATTGATTTATACTCAGGGCTCTTGCTGGGTCCCCCTCCCCTCAAAACACCATTAGCCTATGTCTACATATACTGAATGACAACACATTCTGCAGCCTAAAAAACTGTCTCAGCAACTTGGCGCATAGTGTATCACGAGGAGAGAGGCAGAGCCAGTGTTTTGAGGCTGGCAAATCCAGGGTCAGTTTGCATGTTGAAATTATATGATGGTAGTTTCCACACAGCAACTATAAAAGACCCCTCTCAAGTGGTGTGATTTTGTAAAATGTTATTTTTCAGGTTCCAGAGGCATATAAAAGATCCACAACTCATCTTTTAAATTACTCTATATTCAATGTAGCTCCTTTCAGATGTGGCATTATTGCAGGAGTGTTTGGGATACAATGCGAAGGGAACAAGTCGTTTTTAAACTAACAAACAATAATTTGTTGCAGACTTGTGCTGCAGAAGTGAGTTTGTATGGCAGCACTGAGCGAGAATCATGCAAGCCTTCTGGTACTTTTATTTCAGGTGCTTATCTACCGTTTAATATTCAGAATTTCTTTAGTTCTGCATCCAAGGACCATCAAAAAACACAAATGTGGAAGGAAGGGATATGAAATGGGCAAAAACCTTAGCTTGGCCTTTGCCAACTTGGTGTCCGTCAGATGCTATGAACTACAACTCCCATCAGCCCCACCCAATGCCACCACGCTGGCTGGGGCTGATAGGAGTTGTAGCTCAAAACATAAGGAGGACAGCAGATTGGTAAAGGCTGCCTTAGCTAAAGAGTTAAGCCAGTGTGGTTGTTAGCTTTCCCCCCAGCCTTCCTGTGGTGAGTGCTCAATCCTATGAACCTCTAAAGTGACTCATCAAACCATACATAAAAGGGAAGTTACCAGCTGCCATCGGTCTGCTTTCCTGTTCACTTTTATTCGATGAAAGAGCTTTTACAGAAAGCTGGTCCCTGTTCACCCTTAGTGTTGTATGAATAACTGAAATATCTGAATAGAGGAACCATCTGAGGTAAAGGAAGCTATGTTTTACTATATGAAGCTCATGTTTACTTTGGAATGCCAAGGACACAGAAAGAACAGCTAGTATCAGTTCTTGGTAGACCCCACAGTTGAAATGGCTATGTGGGTTGACCCAAAGTAAGGATTGGGTTTTCCAGTGGGTGCAGTTAATTTTAACCAACTTCCAAAAATTCCAGCTGGATGCCATTTTTGATGGATGACTCCCGGCTATGTGCCTGAATCTGCAAGAGCTGGCTTTTAAAAGCTTGCCTAGGTAGTTCTGGATTTCTTTTCTTTGTGTTTGATATATGAGGCTTCCTTTATGTTACATTATTTCATTAGTTCAATTAGTTCAAAGACTTCTTTTTCCAGAAATGGCCAAAGGGCCATTACTACAGAGAAGGTTCAGAAGATTATTTCAGTGCACTGAAATAAGGCTTGATGGACTCATGGGACTGTGTGGACTAGCCTTGTCTCTGCAGTTGGTGGGCATTGGGGTCTCAAATTTCAGCTGTGCTCTGTGCGATGCCAAAATTTGGTGCTCCCAGCCTCTCAAGCTCCATTCTAATTAATAGTTATGGCACTCTTGAGGCTCCATGCCCAGTGTAACTGAACCAGTCATGCTGCCCTAAATCGGCCTCTGGTCTCTACCACTGATGTGTCTGGCCAATGTGTGTTCATAGTCCTCTTACACATGAGGAGTGGTCCAGGATCCCACCCCACATGGAGGAAACCTATGCGAGTACATCAATATGCACATAGAGCCCCTTCTAACACACTCTTGAGTGCATGGATTATGGAAGATTGTGGCCACTGGGTTCAGCAGTGACAAAGGCAGCACACTCAGCCTTGTGACCTTCTTCTGTTATTTAAATCTGTGGAGGGGAGCAGCATAACCCCCCCTCCCCAATAGAAAGTCATTAAAATTGTATATCACCAAGTGGTACAATCTGTGTCCTCCTATTTCATGATCAAACTAGTACTTTGTATATAATATTGCTTCCATCCATTCCAGCCGTGATGCTGTTGGTTCAAGGAAAAAATAGGTATAAAAAGAGAATTCCTTGGATATCAAGATCCAAGCTTGGGGCAAGTACTCTTTGGTGAGAGAACCTCAACAGAGATTTAAAATCAGAAAATATGCAGCAAAGTAAAGCATGAAAATACAGGCTGTTAGACCTTTAAAAATATGCCCTTGTCAGTCCCAAAACTTCCCTCTTCCCCCAGCGTTGGAAAATACCACATGTTTAGTAATTTAAAAATTCATTTATTTGCAAAGTCTCCAAAGGTCAGGTTCGTGTGCTTTTCCATACATCAGTCAGTAAAGTCACAATAAAACTTTGTTTAGTTCCAAAGTGGTGAAGCTTCCTAAATTATTGGTATAGGAGCACAAGAATGACTTGTGAGAGCCATGTGACTAAGCTGCAGCAACCAACTTAGCCTCTTCGCCCACTGAGTTCATCAGGTAGACTAAGATACAACAATACGTTCCTCCCAAGGTGAGGGGGAGTAACCCATGCTAAGCCTGGCAGGACAGCGTACTCTATGGTCTTAACCCCTTCATGCATTAATTACACTTCAGCATGTTGGTTATATGAGACTCGTTAGCCCACAGATGCTACAATGATAATAGTTTTATTGGCAGCTGCTTTTTATGTAATTTACAATTTGTGTGGTGCAAGGGTGTGGAAGAGTGAAGCCAATCACTTGTGTGCTTCATTCTTGCTCCTCCAGGCGCCTAAAGGTGTAGCCAGAGGAGGCCTAGCTAATAGGTACAATATGTGGTAAATGCTTCCTTGAAAGAGAATGAAGTTTCAGTGGGTTTAATGCTAGTCATGATGAGACCTCTATATAAAAGCCCTTGTTAAATCTCTTTATATCTAACTGTGCTGGATAATTTCCAGCTAGTCTCTTTTTTTTAGGTAAGGTGCTTATGAGTGTGGTGGTTCCTCAACTGCAAAAGTTCCTGGATAATACTTATTACTTATATGCATTTCAGTTTGGTTTCCAGCACCTGTTCAGGACTGAGATAGCCTTGTTGACCCAGGAAGACTATCTACACCAGGTTTTTGAACAGGAAGAATTTATTCCTGTTTGTTTTTCTGAACTTCTTAGCAGCTTTCAGTACCCTCAAGTATGGTATTCTTCTGGACCAAATGGATGTGGCTTTGGGGACACTTGAACATTGTAGGTATGGAATCATTGGTTGATTTATTCTGACAAGCAATGGCATTTCTAGAAGAAAGAACTTCCTTATCAATTCCATAACTTTCATTCTTCAAACATACTGTCTTCCTCCTTTTCTGCCTTAACATGTTTTCTCTCAGACCTTCCTAACTAGGTGGAAAGAATGACGAAAATGATCACATGGTGCGTCCTTTGTCTGCTGGACCTCCTGCATGGAAACAGGAAGGTGTGATCTTAAGGTTGGGTCGCACAAAATATTTGCACTGCTGACGATTTCCACATCTCTCTTAGGTTGCTGTTGTTGCAGAGTTTGACCCTGCGAGAATGATGGCTGACACAGTGGCATCTAAAGCTCGGATGGGCATTGGAACAGAAGAAGAATTTGTTCTGCTAAAGCCTCTGTTTGAGTTGCATACATTCACTAATGACCAGGTAGTTGCCCATTCTGCCTGATGTGTGTGCGCACATCCACACCAACAGCAAAAAGGTTAAATGCAGGGAGTAATTATGCTTTGTGTGGGAAACCACTGGAGGTGGGAGATATAGGTATCTGAAATGTAAAGACCCCCCCCCCCGATTTTTAGGAGTCTTCATTGGGTTACAGGGTAGAGTGTCAACCCTTTTGCATGAGGCCAGTTTTGCTCAGCCCTAGAGCTGCATTTATGCTGTGCTTGGAGTCTCCTGTTTGTTTAAGGATGTCTGAACACCCAAATTCAAATCAAGGAGGCATTTCTCTATGTACTACCTTTCTCTACTGCGGCTCTTGCTGACTTTTTGCCCTGTTATCAGTTCCTTCTGACCACCATTGTTGCCTGCCTGCTGCAATATTTTTAGTCTGCAGCAGCCAATATTTTTACTCTGCAGCAGCCATTTGTCTATACAAGCACATTACAATATTGTAATAAGATATTGGAAGGCAGATTTGGGATTTAAGTGCCCTGAATTCGCACCTACAGTTGCATGCATGATACCATGCTCTGTATTCTGTACCTGTGTGTTCAATAGCTGTTCAATAGGTGCATGTCCTACTCCCCAGAAGTATCTAGGCATATGTGTCAGGTGGAGATTCTACTGTATATGTTTCTGTAATCCAAAACTATCCACACACATCTGGCTAATACCAAATAGGCTAGTATGTTATATGTTGCCTTTTTATTAAATGGCATTGCAATCAATGCTGCTCCTTTCAAGATGACTCGCTCAAAATCTATACCTACAGATTCATATATATAAACGTCCTATTTTTTTCCTTTTTTTAACAGATCATTTCCGACACCCGGGTTCGTGTGGAGCTAGCTCTACGAGAAGCTGGACTACATAAAACACTTTACGCTCAGGAGCTTTTGCCTAAAATCCCTCCGCCCAAACTTCCAAGGAAAGACATGGAGTCCGTAGTCTTTAAAATGTACAACTAGGCACTAATCAAAGATTCAGAATCTTTTGGAATAGTCTATTAAGAATCCTTGAATAAACTATTTTAATTCAGGAAATAAGTTGGATACTAAGTCGTGAAGGGTTCTGTTACGGTGGCTGAGTCATGTTGGTGAAAATGTATTGCCAAGAAGTGCTCATTAGACCGTTTTAACACTCCCCCACAATCTTGAGCACTGCTCTGTTAACAGCACATTCTTGGCAACACAGTTTACTGAAGCTTCAAGTCTAATTATTTCAGGTGAAATCATTCTTTTAGATGAAAATCTGCAAAGCAAAACTGCTGGAGACACACATCCACGTAGGAATGCACCGGATTATTTGCATCGAGGTAGCCAGCGTAGAGCCTTCCGCATGGTAATGGACAACATGTCAGTCAAGGACAATGGAAGCGAAAGTCCAACAATATCTGGAGAGTAGCACGTTGGCTACTCCTGGAGTAGAGTGTTGGACTTGAACCAGAAAAGTCTGGGTTATACATCTGTATGCAGCCTTTGACTTCTCCCCCATATGTCTCCTTTATCCTTGAAGTAACTTTCCAGCCAATAGGAATCTATGGAGATGCAAATGCCATGTCCTTTTTCGTCTTGCATGTAGAACATTCCGCAATACAGGGACAGCAAAATGTAGTTAGGTCTTTAGTGGGGCATATTTCCTCCAGATTGGGTTTGCTTGCTTATTAAACCTTGCACATAAAATCTAAAATGGTTTGCAGCACCCGCTCAGTAGTATCCCACATCACTTCCACTGCATGTTGCATAACGTGATTTTGTATTTTTCAAAAAGAGAATATTCTAGTTTTATTAATATGCACTATTCTTGCTTGATTATTATTATAAATGGAAATATAAGCTTATACTCCACTTGTGGCAGACAATTTGATTCATCATGTTTACTGCAAACCAATCATCCAAACAATTTCATTTTGCAAATTAGCCCTTGAGAATAAATTACAAAATTAGAAAGAACATTTCAGCTATGGGGGTCTTTATTATGGCACAGCAAAGAACCCTGTTTGTTCTGCTAGATGAAAGTGAACTTGATAATTTATTTCATTTTATAACACTAAAAGCATTCCCAGACCTTATGCAGCATGCATATGAAAGATATGTAAACAAGGTGCATAAAATCTGTAGCCTGCCAATTAGCCACAGTTCAAACAATTTATTTCTGGGATTAAGAACTGGATGCAGGTTCCGTCTTGGCAAGTTGTGTGTTTGCGTGTGTATGTATACACTCACACAAATGCCATGCAACAATGTATTTTATAAGGCTCTGTGTGACAGCTATCTTTTTGATGCAGTGTTTCTAAATTTTGCAGCCTCACTTAAGGGACTGGGAAAATAAATTGTAGAGCTCAGTGCAGGCACATTTCAAATGTCAGTCCCAGCCCTACCATTTTCTCAGAGGATTCAATTGTAGCCGAGAGGCACAGCCCTGCAGGTCCCAGCAGGGCTTAATCATAGTTAAACAGACTTGATGACTGAACACGATTTGTCCTGGTTTGTGCTGACAGCCAAGTCCTGGTCAACATCATGTCATTTAACTCAGTTGTTCACAGTCATTTTCTGACTTGCTAGTTCTCCACTGTATAGAAAAGCCCTACGGGGAATTTTGGGAAGAACTCTACCGTGAGGAGGAAGCTTCTCTGTTAGAGTTATCCAGCCTGCAGAGAAAAATACCACCATTTTACACACACACACACACACACACACACACACACACACTTATATAAACACACAGCTCTTATGGTCCTGGGTATAATTTCATAAACCTTCTTAAGCTTTCTCAGTGCTTTGTGTCCATGTAAAATGGAAAATGTGCATGAATCCGATGAGAGAATATTTCAGAGCAGGAATGACTGCTGAGCTTGTGATATACCCAGTTTTGCTTGTGTCAATTTCTGTTGAAGTACATGCAGTGCAAACTCTGAGGAAGTAAACAGCCCTCTTCCTATTTCAGCAGCCCCAAATATATGGTCTACTAACTATTATTCTAGTTAATCCTATCTGAGGTGGAATGTGAATTTTAAAGCAACTGCTGTGTTAGGTTAGGCCTGGGCAACGGTAGTGACTCATAGCAATGATAATGCCCGGAAGCAGTGAATAAACACAGACAGAATGTTCCCAGTCACCATCATTCAGGAATCTGTCGCTGTAATTCTGAGTAGGACAGAAGAACAGTCCCTGGAGCTCAGGAAAGGGGTTTGGAAGAGGTAGCTTGCTGGGTCCAATTAAAATAGCTTCCTCAGCTATTTTCCTTCTGATTTGTTCCCATCTTGTTGAATTCCTTTTCTCCCTTCAATGAATGTGGCAACCACTTGGTATATAAGGATTCTGCCTTTCCACAGAGATTTTCTAGGACGGTGGAAGGTAACAACATTGAATATGTCATAATCTGGAGGCCTGGAGCTGATTTGCATGGTTGAGCTGCATGCAATTAACATAATTTGCATATAATTTTCTTGAACAGGGTTGATGCAAAACTACAGATGGTGGACTTTCTGCAGCTGAGTTACTCAGAAGATTTTGAATCACATTTGTGCTGGTTTTCAGGATATATTTTGACGGGTACATGCAAAGTATGTGTATACATGTCCTTAAGATCATAATGGGTGTATGGTTCAAGCTCTATGTATATAAGTACTAGGGGCTGCCGCCCCTGCTCACATTACCCCAATGCCCTTGCTAACTCCCACACCCCTCCCTTTACACTTCACACAGTCCGCCTCTGTGCCTTCACAGGTCGCTTAAGCTCCTGCAGCCCCTCATGGCTCCTTCAACACCTCACAGCTTCTCTGCGTCCCTCTAGCCATGCTTTATTCAGACTTCTGCTATTATTTAAAATGGCCGCTTTCAAACATGCCTTCCCTTTTGTTCCCTTCCCCCACCGTGGCTTCAGGCAAATCCAGGATTCTGATGAGGAACTACAATTCTTTCAGTCGGGAAAGATAGATAGAATGTGTGTGTGTGTGTGTTTGTATGTGTGTGCATGGGGGGGGGGACGTACCAGGACTGGCTACCATTCTTGCCACATGTTTCTATGTCCTTTAAAGAAAGGCCATTTCCACAATATCAGAGACAACCCTATGATTAGGCAAACCCCTAGCTAGTCTCCCTAACCCCCCTGACCATGCCCCTGTGTTGGAGGACAGAACTGTCCTGGACCCCCTAAACCAGCCTGCTGCTAACCAGTTACTTGTCTAGTCAGTTTCTGTACATGGAACAAGAAGGGGATGCCATCTTGTCATTTGCCTCAGATACCAAAATGGGGCTGACCACACAACAGCATGACTCTTTAGTGGACTTAAATGCTGATTTCACATGGCACTTAATATAGTAATAATTCTTCAGCGGCTGTCATCGTGGACAAGATCCTAAATATAAACCTTAACTTGGTTCTTGGTAGCATCACAAAGTGTAAAGGGTGCTGTATAATGAGGCCGAGCAAAACTAATGTGTAATTGTGAGAGGTTGGCGTTGGAGTTCAAAGGCAAATGTGAGAATTTGTAAAACCTTTGTTCTTGTTCTTTCTATCTATTCATAATCTTCTGATCAGTTTTTTATTCTATCTCTGCAACTATCTAGCTGCAGCTCTCAAGATGATTGTGCCCGTTCATTCTATGTGTGTAGGCTTTGGGACAGCAGTAATTGAGGTGCTAGCAGTAGTGGAGATGTAGCGGTGTCTGTGAGCATGGAGCAAGGGTGGGGGGAAGCTATTCCCAGGTTCCCATTTTTAAAAAGTGACTTGTGGCATTTACAGAACCCAAGAGATGAGACAAAAGACATAGCAGCTATTCTCATTTGTTTTCTATAGCACTAGCTTGCTCCTGTCTTTCAGTGGTTTTAGCCAATGAATGAAGTCACAGAATGATTAACATTTTGGAAAGCCAATTGCAACAAAAAGAAGGCTAGAGTGGAGCACCCTTGACCCTGCCTTTTCTGCAGGTTTTTTTCTGGTGGAGAGGTGATTGTTGCCTCATAAGAATCAGTTCAAGTATCAAGACTTTTGTGATTGAGTGTCAGCTCAAAAATGACAAAGGTAACAGCAAAGATGGAAACTTATGAACTTTCCAACTCAGGTCTTGCTTTTGCCAAAAAAAATGTCATATTCCCTCTACCAGCCTTACCCTAGCTTGTAAGCATTTTAAAAATTGCACTACAATGCAGATACAGGTCATTACTATACCAATTTGCAGGGGGGTGGGGCTATGGCCAAGAGAGTGTGGAATACATTAGCCCTGCAAGGTAACCTGGTTTATATCCATCTTGCAGGGGCTGGTGGAAAATAGAGCATTACATCCTTAAGTGTTGGCCAGTGTTGTTGTTCTGGTGTGTTGGGTTTTCTTTTAGGGAAATATTGTGTGTCCTGTGAAGTTGGCTACAAGAGAAGTGCAATTAATTACGAGCTGGAGGGGATGAAGGGAGCCTGGGTGAAAATTGGGTTTTTTCCAAAAGGAGGGTGGATGATAGATTCCAAGCCAGAGGCCTGTTGCTTAAGACCTTCCACTTCTCAAGAAAAACATGGAGCCTGTTAGGGGTGATGAGGCCCTGGAGGAATCGAAGGCTTCTGTCCCATCACAGGCTTCATTGATAAAGCAACTGCTCTGAAACCCTGGAGATCTGCCAGTCAGTGTGGGACAATACTGAGCTAGATAATGGTCTGAATTGGTATAAGGCATTTTTCAATGTTCACTTGCAGCTCTTGTGAGGCTGCTTTGCCTCCTCTCCCCCACCCCCATATCCTGTATGCTTCTTGTAAAGATCTGGACATGAAAAATACTCCTAAACGCTAAGACAACACACAGACCAGCCTTCTTCAAAGATCGGCTTCATGGATCAAGGCACTGAAGTTCTTCCCATCTGTTAAATCATATAGGAATAGAGAAGATAGGAAAGTCCATTAAAATTTACTTTCCCTATATATGAATTCTCTGGTCATAAACTGCAGCATGTGTCTCTACTGGAAGTAGCTGTTGTTATGCTTTATCATATGAAACATCCCTGGCACACATCAGTAATCCAGCGGTTTGGCAATAGCGTCATATGCCCTGCAGTCAGAGACTGCAATATGAACATCAAAGTCAAAAGTATTTAAGCTTTAAGGTGTAGACAAATTAACCAGCCAGGAGACATTAATTGTTGACGAAGATGCAAAAGGTCAAGCATTCCAGTGACATGGAATCCATTTTGACGACCTTCATTTAGCCACACTTGTTTTTTGTTTTGTTTAATGCACAATTGCTTCAATAAAGCAGGTAAAAAGGCTTTAGGGAGGTTGTAAATGTACTTTGTAACAATCTAAGAGCATTTTTCGTCATGGTCAGCCCAGTGATAGTGAATTTGACAAGGACATAGTTTAAATCTATAACCTATTAACTACAAAATCGTTAAAGTATCGCACCATCAGACAAAGCATATTATCGGAACCCATACATTCTTCTTTTTGCAAAATATGTCATTGCCCCCCCCCCCCAATTTCCTTTTGGCTTATCTGCTGAACCTTAACATTCTCTTCACCATGACATAATTCCATATGGTACTGCTGCTGCCACCTTGTCCCGATTGCTAGGTGAGGTGTGCCAAAAAGAAGACAACGTAGGGAGGAATGAGTTTTTCACTGGCACTGGCGAGTTAATGATAAAGTGTGGGGGTTATTTTTTTAAAAGTACAGCGTACTCCCCCAAACCTTGGGAGAAAGCTCTAAATTCATGCACTCTGTGAATTGTGATGGATGCTTTGTTCTTTGCAATTCACTGTACAGAAATTACAGCTTTCATTGCAGCATGGCACAGTTGATTACTGCAATAATCTCTGACTTCTGCAGTGTAGGCTCTGAGGTCTAGTTTAGATTTCAAATAAGAAAAAAAAGTTTTATTTCTGTTCCTAAAATAAAGCACTCCCATTTTACCCACTGATCTAGAATTAAAAGATCTGCACCTGTGGACAGTTCCATAGCTGCCCCCAAACAAATGGCCTAAACATGCTTCCTGGGTATTTTGCAATGGGGAAAGCACTGAATCATAAAACCAATTAAGAGAGGTGGAGATATCAGCAGTGATCAAGTTCATTATTCTAAAACTCTGGAAATGAAAAGGAAGGAACGTACTGTACTACACAACAGGTAACTAGTAGCCCTTGATTATTCCCTCTCTCTGTGCCCCTAGTGGTCTTAGCCCTTAAAGCAATCTAGTTCAGCGTTAGGGATAGAAAACCATGTTTACTGAGAGAAGGAATTATCAACAGCCACTACTTCCCTGTTGGGTGACATTCAAATGACTACTGCATAAGCTGCTTCCAGCTAGACCAGTGGTGGGGAACACTCTTCAGCCCAAGGGCTACACTCCCTTCTGGACAACCTCCTGGGGGGGTCATATGCCAATAGTGGGTTGGCCCAAAATTGGCAAAGTAACGGCTGTGACTCTCTTCTACAGCAGCCTTCATTCCAGTCAAAAGTCACAGCCTTCTGTGCACACACACAAGCACTTCAGGAGGGTATGGAGCAGGAGCAATGATGGTTTGACCTTGTGCATGGCTCAGGGAGAGTCCTGATGCTTGGACAGAGGGGCCTGGAAGGGCACATTTGGCCCCTGGGCGTCAGGTTCCCCACCCCTGAGTTACAGCCATGAGCAATGATTGATGACGTTGTTTCAGTGCTACTAGGTTTCTCCATCTCCTGCCTGTTTAGACCTGTAGAATGCTTCAGTGTCTGTTGGCCGTCATCATTTCATGGGTCTGACAGAGAGTAGACAACAGCATGCTGTTTGGTACGTGTACTTTGGGGTATATATAATTATTATTATTATTATTATTAATATTAATATCCCGCCCTCCCCAGCGGAAGCCGGGCTCAGAGCGGCTAACAACAGTAAAATAATATAGCATTATAAAATCAATTCATTATAAAATCAGTTCAAATCAAATTGATGGCAACCATTGGGCTAGAGTTCTGTGAAGAATTACAAAAGGAGGGGGTCAGACTGTGCCTTGGCCAAAGGCCTGGTGGAACAGCTCTGTCTTGCAGGCCCTGCGGAAAGATGTCAAGTCCCGCAGGGCCCTAGTCTCTTGTATAATATAATCAATATTCCAAGAAAAAGGTACCTGCCCTTTCCATCACATTTCTGCCACTCCCTGCATAGCTAATTCTAGTCATACTTTTCTATGTATACCAGCCTATAATCATTTAATGATGAAGGGTGGGCTAAGAAATTGTTAAAATAAATGAACAGAGTGCCAAAATTCACCTTCTGAATGCAGCCTAAGTGAGGCGTATCTCTTACTGTAGAAGAATGCATTAACCCAAGAAAACATTAGTTTTTTGTGTGTGACACCACTGCTCTGAGGCAACTGGGCTACTTTGGGGCTGATGTCATGATTTAAAAATACCGTCTGGCCTTGATTCATAGGAAGCAGTGTCTTCAGGGTGCAACTTGATAAAAGAGATGTCATGAAAAATTTGGACTCCTGTTTCACCAAAGCTATTAAACCTATATGTGTAGTTAGAAACTTGTTTTGCTGGTGGTTCCAGACTGTTGCTATTTTCGGGTGAGATTCAATCACATACCAACAAATTCAGGTTGCACAATAGAAACTGATGTGGTGCTTTTGCACAACAAACCCACTTTCTCCAAGAGTCCAGCAATTGAGGATTTGAACCCGATTCTTGTTACTGCTTGTCAAACAAAGGAAATTAAAGTAAAGGAGAGAATAAAACTCTAGAATATACTAAACATCTTTTTTGCAAATGCCGTAATATGATTCTGTGCCCCACTCTGTCTTTTAAAACATACTATATTAAAGATTTCATGAATATTTATTAGATAAATGATCACTCCCCACCCCCAACAGTCTTTCCTCATTCTCTTTTAAAGTCTTTATTAACCAATTTTGCAGAAGTGTTAAACAGATGTAATGTGATATATTAAACAATGAAGTATATAAATAACTTAAGCTTATTACAAAGCAGCACAATCTCAAATGCAATTGCACACAGCAGTTTAAAAAGCAAATAGGTTATGGAAAGAATTGGACTCCTAAGCCAGCACAAGGTACACTTTTTACATTTAGAAAAAGAAGACAATTCCTCATGTGAATTCAGATAAGTAAGCAAATATGAATACAGTACTTGTTGGTAGTAATTTCTGATCATATTTTCTGAATTCGTAATGCCTTTTGCCTTCCATTTTTTGGGTTCCTCTGTCATCATGCAGCTCATCACCTGGTATTTACTGAAACGCTCAGGTAGAAATCAACATTAAAGTGCTACATATTCAGCTAGGATCACAGTATAATCAACCAGGAACATTTTTCTGTGCTGCTGTGGAGCTGCTATACATTGACATGTTCTGTCTAAACATTTCCAGGCTGTTTGATCAATTTCTGACAGATGTCTAAAATGAAATGTTACCCCACTGTGTTGTAGGATAATATTCTAGCCTTTCTTCACAGGTGTGCTGAACAACAGTAACACACAAGAGTAGTAGATTCGCTTTTGAGCCAACTGGGAAGTAATCTCTGAGGTACAAGAGTTAGCTTGGCTCGCTATTATAAACAGCACTTAATGATAACTAAAGATACCTTTCACTGGCTGCTTTAGCTGACACCCATGGGCAAAAGCATTGCCAGATGCATGGCATGAGAGAGCTCCGTTCAGATATTTGTGCAATGAAAAGGAACTTCCTCATGACTTTTGGATTGAAGGCTTGTCAGTAGATTATAGCAGAGAAGACTGACTTGTGGCCCTCCAAATATTCTTGGACTCCTATCAGTTCCAGCCAGCATGGCCAGGGAATGATGGGAGTTGTAGTTCAACAATATATGGAGGGCAGCAGGCTGGTCTAGATGTTGAGACTTAAAAGACAATCTGTGTGAGAGAGACTCAGAGAGAGAGAGAGAGAATATCCAATTTCGTATCTGTTCTAGATGACATCTTCTGATAATCCATTAGGGTTCCATAATCCAAGGCATTTTCTGATGAACAATGAAATCAGCTGCTGAGGTCGTTGCTGGTAATCCAGAAGAACTTCGTGAGGTGCTGTGATTTGGTCTCCTTCAAGCCGATTAAGCAAAGTCACACAGACAACTGCAGCTAGAAGCCAGGTGAACAGGAGAAGGGAAAACAAGAGGTTCAGGCTTGTTTTTTTATTTCAGATACATAGACCAAACACAATCTTCCCAGAGATGGTGACTGGAATCTAATTTTATTTGTTAGCAGCCCGTTTGTTTACAACCAACCTGTCTTTGCTACTAGCCTCCCCTACATCTCCCAGAAGGAAAAGGAAAAGCTTTAACTTGAGAAAGGGGGAGTGGGTAACAGTTGGCAACAAAGGTCTCTTTTACAAACAAGTGGCTCCATGTGGCCATGGGCATCACCGGGGGGGGGGGGCAGAGAGGGGCAGCTGCCCCTCAATAAAAATACATAGCTGACTGAGGTTCTGCCCCTCTTTAACAAAGCCCCCCCCCAATCCTTTCTGTGCCCATGCACTGCAAATGCTGTGCAGAGCATCATTTCTCAGCTGGGAACCATTGACCATATTTCCTTGCAGAAACCAATGAGATCCTCTCATGTGTGAAAGGGGCTTTCCGGTACCCATTAACTCCTTCCCAAGCATAAGGCATTTTTTTACTTCTGGGAAAATGAGTGGAGGCCCAACAGGAAGAAAGGTTTAGCCATTTGGGCTTTTCAAACATTGTCAAATGATTTAAAAAAAAATCTTCAAGGCAAACTTAGTTATTGATGGAGCATTCTTCTCTCTCTCTGAGATTGGACCTTCCAGTTCTTAAGCACACTGAAATAAATCAGTGAGGGTAGGCAAAAGTTGCTCCCATGAGGTGCTGTTTTTCTTGGTGAGGGGAAGCACTGTGGAAAATCAGTGGAACTGGGGGAGGGGATGCATCCTTTAAAAAAAGACAGATTTGCCTATGCTAATTTATGTTATCAATGGAAATTTAGAGCAAATTAACAAAATTTAATACTGTTCTGCAGTCCAAGTTTGCTAACTGATAACAGGTAGCACCGAGGTCCCTGCTCTCCCTTCTTATTGCTGTTCATCTTTAAATTAAATCCTTCAAATGGTCCTCTGCAAAGTTGCACACATTGCCACCCTAGCTATTGACTGTAATGTAAAAACTTCACCCTTATTTGGCATTCCTTACCATGCCACTACTCTTATTAAAGAAACTGGCAGCCTTCATAGCTGCAGTTCAGTTATAATTGGTAGAGGTCATCAGTGTGACCTGTAAACGATTATAAACCTATTTTCCTCGGTTGCCCTAATACAGCCGCATAAGAAAACCCCATAATAAAAATCCAACGAGGGTTGTGATTCCAAGAGAGGTATGGAAGGGAATGCATAGCACAAAGAAATTCTTCCTGAAATGCTCTTGTTAGTTCAAATGTAAGCTCTGACCAGTGGATCTTTATATCTTCAGCTTTTAAAAATAGCTTGAATAAAAACAGTGAATGCAACCCCCAGAATGTCAGGAGGAACTCAGTGACCTTTGCAGCCACTATAAAATGAAACAACACACACACACACTCTGACATGAAAGTCTTAGAAAATTTTCACAAGCTGGCTTGAAATGTTTTGGTTTTTCTAACATCATTAATCCACTCCCCCTTGGGTACAATGCATCCCAATCAATCTCATATAATCGATTTATAAAATCTGAAAAGCCAGGACCAGACTTTGCTTTGGGGAAATGATGGTTTTGAATAAATTCTCAGTATTAGTCCTTGGATCTATGGATCAGATTCCAGAAAAGGGTAGAGGATTTATGAGTTCAGTTGCTGTGATGCAGCTGCTTATTTGAACTGAGGTCTCAACAGCTGCCTGAGAGTGCTAAGAGCTTGAGGGAAGCGATTCTAGCCTAATTTTCTCCCTGCCAATAAAATAAGAACAAAATTTTGTGATTTTGTGTACAGATAATTTTTTGAGGGGGGAAGAGAAGGAGCATTCAGTCATATGAACCTCCATTTTCAGTAAGAAATAGTATCATTCAGATGTCGTATGGCAAAGAAATTCACTTTAATACATATTCCAAGTCAAATCTATCAGATTTGTGTTTTCTGAAATAATATGCACACAGAAACACAGCCATCCTGTTATTCCAAGTTCTGTAATGCAGTTCTCTATAAAATGTTTACAAACGTTTCATATATTATTGGGAAGGATGCATGATAAGGAAGATATTAGTGAAGATATTTCTGTGTAGGAAAATTGCTTGCAAAAATGTGTATGTCAGCCAAAACTGCATACACAAAAATGTGTTTATTATCCTGGTGAATTTTCTTGAGGATTTTTTTTTAAAAAAATTGCAAATTGGTGCAAAATGTGGAGAACTGAATTTAAGATTAGAAAATGAGAAATGGAGAGAACTCAAAATGGCGGACGCTTCCATCCCTCAATCAGACACAAGTATACTGTGTCAGTGAAGACAGGGCCTTAATTATTCACTTTAGCTAAAGATGGTGGACAGTCACACTGCAGTGAAAAGCGCTTTGTGCTTCTTCTCAGAGAAAGGGGTTGCAGGGAGGAAGCATCAGCAAAGGAGGGAGACAAATTTAAAGCCAGGTCTACCCTCTGTCTTACCTTTAAGGCCACAAAGCCTGCACATAGCAGCAAATACAGTAGACTCCATTTCTATGTTTCTAACTCCAGCATTGTAAGCTCTTTTTAAGTACTCCAGCTTTTTTTCACGGGAGAAGGAACACAACGCTCCATCTAATCGTCCCTGACCTTAGAAGGAAAGAAAAGGAAATGTAAGTATTTTATACTTCCATGTGTTGGCAGAGCTGACTGCAGTCTCAAAGAATGCTTTCTTCAGAAAACCCAATTTGCCAACGGTATGCTTAAATGAAAACCTCAGGAATTTTTTATTTTAATAGCGTGCGCGTTGAAATATTAATACCTTATCTGCCATGTATTTTTTAACATTCCAACAAAACAGCGCAAAAGAGGCATATAAAAATGCGGAGTCTGAAAACATTGTATTACTATGGCGAAGATTCAATAAATTAAGGATAATGCGCTCTGTTATCCCGTGCAGAGGAAAGCAGCACAAAACAGTAATGAAACAACAGTAGCACCAGTACACTAGAAGACAATAGCGTTGTATCCAATGCTGGGGAGCCCACAAAACACAATCTCTATTTGTTTTACCACTGTTCTGCTTTAAGGCAGTGAACTGTTTATTGGCTGACATTTCACGGGTGGGGGAGACAGAAATTTGGTGGTTGTATAGCCACCCACCTGATCTGAGAAGTATGTGCCACTTAGCTAGTATGTACTGGCTAGCAGGTGGTTTGATTTGGTAATGTTCGCCAGCATGACTTTTAACGTTCCTAACTGGAGCAGCACGTATTTTCACACTTATTGAGCCAGGAGGTGGTGCATTGCGTGCCCTTGCATTATATGCCCCAATCTCCTGCTGCTTCTTAATCCTGTAGGGAGGAAAATACAGCACCAAGCTATGGTGTAGGGAAATGCAAAGTTTTAAGCTCAAATAGTATAAAATGTTTACATATGCATGGAAAGAAATATTATTAAATGCTCTGGGAAGTAGTTTCTTTAATTAGTGCCACCAAATCTTTGTTGTTGTTTAGTCGTTTAGTCGTGTCCGACTCTTTGTGACCCCATGGACCAGAGCACGCCAGGCACTCCTGTCTTCCACTGCCTCCCACAGTTTGGTCAAACTCATGCTGGTAGCTTCGAGAACACTGTCCAACCATCTTGTCCTCTGTCGTCCCCTTCTCCTTGTGCCCTCCATCTTTCCCAACATCAGGGTCTTTTCCAGGGAGTCTTCTCTTCTCATGAGGTGACCAAAGTATTGGAGCCTCAGCTTCACGATCTGTCCTTCCAGTGAGCACTCAGGGCTGATTTCCTTAAGAATGGAAAGGTTTGATCTTCTTGCAGTCCATGGGACTCTCAAGAGTCTCCTCCAGCACCATAATTCAAAAGCATCAATTCTTCGACGATCAGCCTTCGTTATGGTCCAGCTCTCACTTCCACTCACTTCCATACATCACTATCTCACTTCCATATATCACTACACCAAATATTAGTTCCTCATAAAAATAAAGGATAGTGCAAGGGATCTCATTCTGCTTCATTCCTATATGTGATGAATTTGGAATCTGTGGCCCTCCAGATGTTTTTGGACCTCTGCTCCTGTCAGACCCAGCCAGCATGGCCAGTAGGCTCAAGTGTAATGGAAGTATCGTAATAGCACGGCAATTGCCTCATTTGTACTCTACACATTTTATAGTCTGAGTTCTGTGTAGCTATCCATAAGATTGCATAGCCAATTATTGTTTTAAGTAGAAGCTGGAATCTAAGGGCCTGGCTACACATTGCAATAGTGGCTTTCTTAGCAGCCATGTTGTGGGAGATTCTGCCCCCCCCCTTGCTAATTTCTGTGTGGGGCAGATGATTTTTCACGTAAGCCTTCCTTCCAGTGCCACCAACAATAATGTCCCCTCCCCCTACACCTGCCATTTAATGTTTATAACAGACTCTGTGATTGGCGATCCCACCAACAGCACACTATCTAGTTAGGCTTCTTGTTAAGAAGAAGCATAATAAGCTGTGCTTATTTTAATTGTAAGTAATACTTTTGAATATGCCAAGCACATACCTTCATCTTGTACTAAACCTGGGCAAACCATTTCATTGTGTTTTCATTTCTGCATTAATCCTCTGAAATGGCTTTGATAAAATGTGGCCTTGAGCAAAACCACAGATGGCTGTGCTTGCAAACAGATCCAACAGTTTATAAATAGGCCTCAGATTATTAATTCTCCATTTATTCTGTTTCATCCACTTTGCAAACAGCATTTAATTGCCTCCAAAGAAAAGGTTCTAAGGTAGCACAGAGGCGCTAATGGTTATTTACATAAATGCCACACTTCTTGACATTTTTCTTCTGTAAAGTAATTTTGGAAGCTATAATCCTGTCACAGGAAGTAACTAGAGTGTAATCCAGCTGATAACATGATGTTATGATTATTGACAAGGGGCTATTTTACTTTAACTGTTTAATACGATATGGTTGTTTCTTACAGAATGACAATGAATTTGTACAAGTTGTTGAGGATGAGGGATGGACGGGCAATTGTTATCAAGGGAACCTTAGATTTTTCTAAGGAAGAAATGGGAAGTTGGATTCACTGTCATGGTGTGTGTGTGGTGAGAGAGAGATTTAAAAAAATAAAGATTAAGAAAAAGAAAATACGTTATGAGAAAAACACAATGTAAAACAGCAGAAAAAACAGCAGCCGCCGCCAAAAACTTTACCATTTAAAAGCCCCCCCCCCTCGGTGTCTACAGGGGGATGGGGAGTGTCATTGTCAGGTGAGCTTCCTTTGGGAGGCCATAGCTGAAAAGACCTCTGCCCTATGGATATCAGCATCACCCCTGATGGTGGGGAGACACATGCTGAAAGGCCTCAGCTGATTTTCCTTAAGGGGTTGCTGTTTTCCCCAAACTAACTATGAACAACGAGTCAAGAACAGACCTTGGTTATTGCTTGTTGGGTTGCTTGGGGCAAAGCAAACAAGGCCAGGTTTGGATGTCTCAACAAGCCGGACTCTGGCTTATTTTGTCCATGGTGGGCAGCAAGTGGACCATGGTTTAATGTGAAATGAGAACCAGGCTATTGTTTGGAAAGTATGTTACATTACTGAAAACTTATAAACTTGATTCTAATATGCTTGGCACTTTAGACCCACTGTGGTGTAGTGGTCAGAGTGTCGGTCTAGGAATTGGGAGACCAGAATTCAATTTTCCACTCATCCATGAAGCCCGCTGGGTGACTTTGGGCCAGTCCCTATCTCACAGGGTTGTTAATGAAGATTAAGTGAGGATGGAGAGAGCCATGTACGCCACCTTAAACTCCTTGTAACAACTATATAATACTTTCCCTTTAGATCTCTTTTCACTTGCAGATGAGACTCCACATTATGCAGTAACCAAAAAATATACAGTCTGTGGGCACTTGTTCAAACAGCTACCTCCAGATATGGTGAAAAATTCAGTATTCATTTATTTATCTGATAAATGTTCGTGGTTGAATTTGATTTCACCACATTATGACACATCTAAAATAATAAGTAACCATAGAAGAATGAAAGATAACTGTTGCCTCATTTCCCTTCAAAACAATTCTTTCAAGAAATATTCTGTAAAAACAGGAGAGGCAGAATGCTCCTCTCAAATGTTTTCAAAGGTAAAAATTAAGGAAAAATTACTACAGTTTATTCTAGAGGGTAAGGAAAGTAGGTAAAGAAAGTTAGTTCTGCATAAACATGCATAGAATTGCTCTATAAGTCCAAGTGTGTTCAGTGAATCTTATTCTCAGGTAAGTGTATATAGGATTATACCTCAGATTAAGTACTTAATTCGTTCTGGAGGTCTGTTCTTAACCTGAAACTGTTCTTAACCTGAAGCACCACTTTAGCTAATGGGGCCTCCTGCTGCTGCCGCACTGCCGGAGCCCGATTTCTGTTCTTATCCTGAAGCAAAGTTCTTAACCTGAACTATTTCTGGGTTAGCGGAGTCTGTAACCTGAAGTGTATGTAACCTGAAGCGAATGTAACCTGAGGTACCACTGTACAGTCAGTGGAAACAATCCCATGCACACTTACACAGGAGTAAGCCTAACTTTGGAAATTGCTTCTGTCCTAAATGTTTTTAAGACTGCACTGTTGTTCATTTCTGTTTGTTCTACAACATTTAAGGCTCTTATCTTATCCTAGAAGTAAGTCCCATTGGGTGCAATGGTACTTACTTCTGAGTACGCATGTATGGGGTTGCTCTTTAAGTTATCTAAAAGACACAATGATAAAAGTAACCATAAGCCCGTAGACAGCACCAGACAAAACCTGGCAAAGCCGTATCATGACCTTTATAATGTTTTCATATCCTAACCTCCCACTTTTAAGTTTGGGATTAAAAGAATGAATCATTAAGTGTATAAAGCAGTTCCCACTCACCCTCATAAAAATCATCAGTGCACATTGTATGGCCAATGAGGGATGGGAAATCCTTAATCTGTCTGCTACATTCAAGTAGTTCCTCAGCAAGGTCTCGATCAAGTTCCGTGCTTCGCGTTACCACATTGTCCAATATCACCTGCTCAAACTGCGGCTTAAAAAAAGAATCAACAGCCGTGTCTGTTATTACAACAGAGCCAGGCTCAATCCCTGAAAACAGAAATGGGGATAAAGTTAAAAGACTGCATTAAATAAGCCCACAATTATACATTATAGGAAGCTTGATCTCGGTGATCATGGACATAACAAAACATTTGGCTAGTCAGCTAAGTTTCTGCAAGAAATAGACTGGCAGGAGGTTACATGCCATGTGGGAGGGAAGTGATTGAATTTTCATAGAGGTGGAATTGGATACATCCACACCTTACACTTAAAACGCACTTATACTACTTGTTAAGGGACGCGGGTGGCGCTGTGGGTTAAACCACAAAGCCTAGGATTTGCTGATCAGAAGGTCGGCGGTTCGAATCCCTGCAACAGGATGAGCTCCCGTTGCTCGGTCCCTTCTCCTGCCAACCTAGCAGTTCGAAAGCACCTCGAAGTGCAAGTAGATAAATAGGTACCACTCCAGCGGGAAGGTAAACGGCGTTTCTGTGCGCTGCTCTGGTTTGCCAGAAGCGGCTTAGTCATGCTGGCCACATGACCCGGAAGCTGTACGCCGGCTCCCCCGGCCAATAAAGTGAGATGAGCGCCGCAACCCCAGAGTCGGCCACAACTGGACCTAATGGTCAGGGGTCCCTTTACCTTTTAAACTACTTGTTTCCCCTTGCTTCTACTCAAAGAATTCTGAGAACTGTAGTTTGTTGCTGCCTCACATCCTTAACAAACTACATTTCCAAGGATTCTTTGCTGGGTGTTTGTGTGTGCTTTAAATGTATGGCATACACACAGCCATTTACGCAAAATGTTACTCATGTGTACCACCCCAGTTATCAAGTGTATATAGGGCATTCTGGGCCATGACAGTGATTGCCATCTATCAGGTCTTTAAAAGTGACATATAATTCTGGATCTCATTCAGATAACTTTCAGTGGGTGAAAGGGCCGTCAGTTACTTTGTACCTAGACAGAATTGTCCAGTCAGCTATGTTCATTGTACAAACTCATTTCAAGAGGGAGTTTATCATTCGGTGTTTGCAATGAGACTTTCTTTTCTCATTAAGATTCTTACAGTATTTGCCTCTTAATTCTATGGAAAATCCTTATTTTAAAAAAGCAGGAGTCTAAATTTTTAGAACATTTTTTTGGTCATTGGAACAAAGCATTTTCACAATATGGATAACATGGTGTGTGTGTGTGTGTGTGTGTGTGTGTGTGTGTGTGTGTTTATCAGTCACTCATATGTGTTGGTATTTGGGTCAGTTAGGGGGAAATCAAATCCAAATGACTTTAAAAAGAACTTCAAGTCCTGTGTTTTCAAGCTGATGCTACATTAGAAAAATACATATTTGTGATCTTTCATATATCTTAGCAGGTTGATATTTGTTGACTTGATTTTTTTTTTAAGTACAAAAATCTCATAAAGACATGACCTTTTCTTGAGATGTCTTTCATTTCCATCTCCTGCGCCTGGTAGCAGCAAAACTCTTTGCTCACCTAATCCCCCTGAAGTACCGATGCGTATAATGGTAACATCACGGCATTTTGCATGGTGTAGCAATTTGATTAGCTCATGAAGCATGATAGAAATGGATGGAACACCCATCCCATGCTGTTAAGAAAAAAAAGAGAAGCAATATAACTTTATACATTCTAAGCCAAACTGATTTTAATAAAATCAAAATGATAACCTTTAAGCATAAAAGTACTGGTGCACAATAGAAGCCTATGCCAGTGGATATGTGGAGAGTGATCCATCCAAGGGAAAGGGCATTTAACTTTGCTATCCCCCATTGAAAGCAATGGCTAGTATCCAGTTGGCCATTCTAATAATAATAATAATAATAATAATAATAATAATAATAATAAGTTGTTGTTGTTGTTTTGTTGTTGTTGTTGTTATTTATACCCCGCCCATCTGGCTGAGTTTCCCCAGCTACTCTGGGCGGCTTCCAATCGAGTGTTAAAAATAATACAGCATTAAATATTAAAAACTTCCCTGAACAGGGCTGCCTTCAAATGTCTTTTACACATCTGAAGGGAGGGTGTTCCACAGGGTGGGCGCCACTACCGAGAAGGCCCTCTGTCTGGTTCCCTGTAACCTCACTTCTCGCAATGAGGGAACCGCCAGAAGGCCCTCGGTGCTGGACCTCACTGTCCTGAGTGTCCTCCGTGTTCTAGCGCTGGTGATCTTGTGGGAGTCATCTGCTAACAAACAAAGGGAAGCAATTTTTGCCAGTTCCCTTTCCTTCTGTAGTTCCCAGCACCCCCAAATAATTTCGGGGGGTGGTGGTGATATTTTGGGGGAGCACTGGGGTCTGTAGGGAAGAGGAGGAATGGACGCAAACTGCTTTCCCCGCCCCCACTTCCACAGTAGGTTCTTCCTGCTGCATCAAAATTGGCTATAACCCAATATGACTTGTGAGTGCAAAACACTGCAATAACTAAATATAGCTTTCCAATACATTCCATTAACTAGACACTGAAACAGGAATAATACCCACACAGGGTTATCTTATTTCTAAAAGAAATGGCGGGGGGGGGGGACTGGAGGCAAAATCTAACCAAAGTAAAGCACATTGAAGTCTCATTTTCAGAGCTAAACACAATTCTCACATTACTGAAACATTACTGAAATGTGTTTATGTTTGTTTGGATGGGCCTTAAATGTTTCATGTTTGCTTACAAGCGGATTCTGCACTGCACTCGAATGTCACTTTGCATTGGCTCTGAAATGTGCTGATTCCGACAGTTTTTGGTTTTATAAACTAAATCACATAGTGCTTTTTCAAACCATCAAACAGCAACACTGCACAACTTAGAGTTTGTATCGTATGGATGTATCCCATCAGTCTTAATTCAAATTAACATCGTGCAAATCTGAAGTTCGCTTGCAAATCCATCAAAAGCTCTGGCTCTTTTTGTCCCATCATCATAGGAAGATAGGAAGCTGCCTTGTACTGAGTCAGTCTGCTGGTCTGTCTAGCTTAGCATTATCTACACTGACAGGCAGTGGCTCCCCACCATTTTGAAACCAATGCTTTTTCAGCCTGATGCCGAGATGCCAGTGACAGAACTTGGACTCTCTGCATGCAAAACAGTTGTCTTACCAGTGAGTTGCTCTGCTGCAAATTAATCGTTTTGTAAGGGTTCTGCAAGGACGCGGGTGGCGCTGTGTGTTAAACCACAGAGCCTAGGACTTGCTGATCAGAAGGTCAGTGGTTCGAATCCCTGCGACGGGGTGAGCTCCCGTTGCTCGGTCCCTGCTCCTGCCAACCTAGCAGTTCGAAAGCACGCCAAAGTGCAAGTAGATAAATAGGTACCGTTCCGGCGGGAAGGTAAACGGCGTTTCCGTGCACTGCTCTGGTTCGCCAGAAGCGGCTTAGTCATGCTGGCCACATGACCCGGAAGCTGTACGCCGGCTCCCCAGCCAATATAGCGAGACGAGCGCCGCAACCCAAGAGTCGGCCACGACTGGACCTAATGGTCAGGGGTCCCTGTACCTTTAAGGGTTCTGCATAATTGTATCTTTCAGTGGGACAGATCTCCTCATGTAAACATAGTAACCTTGCTTAGATTACTACCAATAATTAAGAGAGTGTGTGTGTGCATAGATTAAAATGTTCAGCACATTTCCCATGGATTATTTAATAGTTTTTGCAACATAGGTCAGTATTATTTCCCCAGTATTGAAGATGAGGAGCTGAGGTGGAAAGCAAAGTGGATTGTGGAAAGTCACAACATGAGCCCAAGGCAAGATTTAAACCAGGACCTGCCTGCCTGCCTGCCAGCTCACAGTCTTAATGGTGCAATCCTGCACTCACAAAAAACCAGGGTGCCAAAGAAGCTTTCTGGGAGCCTTGCTTTTCCATTCCCTTGCCCACCTGCACACACTTTTGTGCTGCTTCTCTTCTCAGGTCACTGATTTGTTGGGCCACACAGTTGCAACTGAAGCTCTCCTGAGTCCAGCAGCTTTTCCTTCCCCTCAACTCTGGTTCAAAGGCTGTTCCTTAGGAAAAAGCTGAAGTGTGCCATGTGCAGAGTAGATGATGGAGAATGCTGCAGTGCAAGAGTGGGGAATATGGACCCCACCAACCCCAGCCAGCATGGCAAGAGGTCAGGAATGATGCGTGTTGTAGTTCATCATTAGCATCTGCAGGCAGGGGGAGGCTCCCCACCTCTGTTACAATAGGTGCCACTAGGAGCTACTGCACATCTAAATAAGTGCAGGAGGCAAGCGTGTACACATTGCCTGCGTAAGCATTACTGTTTTCTCCTCTCCAGTACACTCCCACCACTGTTAGCCTAATGTATCCTGCAGTTTATTGAGAAACACGTCTCAAACCAGGTTGCATCTGATTTGAAAATGCAAGCTGCGGTAAAGCTGAGGTGTGCACAGTTCAGACAACCATTGCACATGCAGAGATGGCAGCACATGCACAGGCAGCTTCACTGGGGGTTACCGGCACAGAGAAACAAATCCGGTAATGTACAGTGTACATTTGCACTTGCGGTGTGTACAGCAAGTGCAAATGCAACCTGAAACATAGCATGGGGTGGGTGGGCAACCTTCCTGCATTTCAGCCACTCATGTGTACATAGCCTAAGTCAGTAAACTATATTTCCCAGAGCTATAAAATCGGGTTGACTTGTACAGAACTTAAGTGACATTCTCAAGCTGGTTTCACTGCGAGCTTCTGACATCCCAAGTCACTTGTGGATTGCAACCCGGGGCACGTACATGCTTGGCACAGTGTTTTCCTCCAAATACCACCACCTGCGTTCCGCAGGAAGTGACCCTAAGACTTCACCTTAAAGACTGCTGGCCTTAACAAAAATGTGTGCTTCCTCTGTTAATAAGGTAGCGCAAGGGCCTTTCAAAGTCAATATGCGGTGGCATCCCAAGACATACAACATGATTCAGACAGAAGGGTAGGATAAATCATAGTCATTGAAACTGATCCAGCTTCTGTTCAATGCCACAACAAAAACACCCCCTTTGACTTGCATGGGAAGTGAATTTTGTGCTCCCAGCCTATTAATCTTAAGTCTCACTTGTCTAGCAAAGATGTAGGTAGGGAATTTCCTAGGCAGGCCTGTACATCTGTTACATTCCATGTATCCAAAGAACAGGGAAATAATTTATAGAAACAGCAAGAACAAGCCACAGCAATTTTTCACTCAGCATATTAAAGTTTAAAACATGTAGCGTTTTCGAATGCCTGAAAGATCGGATTGGAAATAACTGCTCGAGAAGTGTCTGAAGGGAATGAAAGAGATATTGCTGCTAAATTAGTTATAAAATGGAACGTACCCACTCAGAAATGAGAAATTTGCTAGAATTTCAAGAAATGGGTAATTTGGGTGACTCAGTTTAACAATACTAGGCCTTGGATTCTGACCTATTTTACGGGGACATGATGGTTGAAATTTTAAGCGCATTTACTAGAGAGTACACCTCACTGAACACAATGGTGAATAAGGGCAGATATGATAGTGGGTTGTGGGGTGGGGAAAGTGGTTAGAGAGAATCCCGCCCCGCCCCCCAAATAACATTAGCACCCAGGGCGATACAGTGAACTGAGGTGGAAAGTACAGGTCAGACAACAGGAGGTACAGTATTTCTTCACACAGTACATAGTAAAGTTATAGGATTTGCTTTTACAGGATGTGCTGAATGCCACCACCTCAGACAGCTTTTAAAGGGATTAGACAACTACTTCTGCATATTTTTATTTGGAAGGACAAATGGTTACCTTACGTTTTGGGAGGCTTCATAGGGACTAGTGTTTACATGCCTACACTGCAAATGTAGTATGATGGCAGTGACAAATGCCTTTATTTACCAACCCAGCATATAGTAAATAAGCATGCTAATCATACTGAGAGTAGACCCATTGAAGTTAAAAGACTTGACTAACACAAGTTCGTTGATTTCAGTGGGTCTACTCTGAGTAAGACTTAGTTGAATATAAACCTTAGGGTTGTATTCACAGTGGTTCCCCTCCACCGTGGGCATCTCCTAAATCTGTTCTGGCTTTCTCCCCAATCCTCCTGTGCAGATTTGGTTTGGTTTTGTGGTCTTTGAGCTCCTACTAAACTAGTGGAGAATTTCCTTGCAGAAGATTTGGTGAAATGGGTGCCCCACTTCTTCTATTCATGAATGCTGGGTGAAACGGCATTTCGTATTTAATACTACGCTAACATTACTGAAGAAAACAAAAGGCCCATACCCTTTCCAAGTCTCATTCTTATAGTTCATCGAGTTCCATTCAACACCAAGTTTACCAAAATTTCTTAGAAGAGGTCCCCCTCTCTCCAAAAGTTCACCTCTCCCCTTCCTAAATTACCCATGCCACACACACACACACAGCACACACAGAGAGAGAGAGAGAGAGAGAGAGAGAGAGAGAGTTTGGCTTGCCCACAACTAGCATGGAAAATTTTGAGAGGCCATTTTTGCTCATTCCTGGTTTTCTGCCTGCATCTCAGGGCTTATCTATTTACTGGCTTTGAAGAAGCATGCATGAATCTCTAGTGCAGGGGTAGCCAACATGGTACCATGCAAATGTTGTTGTACTATTTCCTATCCACCTCAGCCGGCATGGCAAATAGTCAGGAATGATGGGGTCCAATAACATCTGAAGGGCTCCTTGCTGGCTTCCCCTGCTCTAGAGCACATCCAACCCCGCCATCACATATGCGCCTGCGACTTCACCCCATTCCTCCTTCATACTGCGAACAGTGACCATTCAAGGACCAGCGTGGGCCGTGCAATCCACATACTAGGAGCTGATCTGCAAGCCTGCGAAGCAGAGACTCTGCATTTTCAAGGTAACCACTTTGTTCAGCTTCCCATATTTCTGGTTTAACACTCAAGGGATGTAAAGAGATTACAGGATGTGGCCTCAGGCGTTCTTGGCAGAGCCGGTAGAAATAGTGGAAAGCATAAAGACGGAAAGAGCCTCTTGCTCATCAAAGAGCTGCCTGCCAGTCAAGGCTAAGTCACTGGCCGGGCAAGTGTAATAAGGGTGATTCCTGAAAAGCTGTAGCAGTTGTATTTTGGCTTCTTGCGAAGTCCCTTGATTATAAAGCCTTTCATTGCAGTGCCTCTCGCAACTGCTAGATCCACATTAAATATTAAATAAGAGATGTGAACAATGTGCTAAAGTCATCAGTTACTGCTGTGCCGCTAATGGAAGTGTTTTGGGTGCCCTGTAACGTACTTACACTGATGGAGAGCACCGGCCCGACTTTGTACATGCAGTATCGGTCCGTCCCGGCACAAATATCTTTTATGTCTTTGCCATCTCCTTCGAGTCCAAGTTCTTTATGCATGAACTGAGCAAAAGCTTTCATTCTGTTGGGGCTCCCACCCACGCAGACAAACTGGAAATAAATCATCAGATTATCAGCCATAGCAACAACAGAGACTTGGCATGCGCTGGCGATAAGATATGGTTTTATAGCCAAAGTGGGGTACGCCTGGAAAAGAAGGGTAAATACGTAGACTGCCTGGCCCATTTATGCAAGACTGCATGCAAGGAGCACTATGGAAGTGGGTTTTATCTCGGTTATCACAGGAAATCTTGCGGATTTAAAATATGCCGGCATATTTTATTTTAGGAGAACAAGTTGTTCAGTTTCCTCTGTCCTTATTTATTTGTCATGAAATGAGGTGGATGATGTTATGAGATGCATCGTTCTTTGGTGCCAGTGTTTTGGTTAAAGCTGAAACTACTGTATTTTTCACTCTCTAGGACACACTGGACCATAGGAGGGGGAGAACAGGGGGGGGGGATTCTCCCCCTCTCTGCTCAGCGCCCCTTCAGCGAAGCGGCAGGAGAAACGGAGCCCCTTCCATTTCTCCTCCCGCTTCGCTGAAGGGGCGCTGCGCAGAGAAGGGAAAACTGTGCAGCGTCTCTCCAACGAAGCATAGCCTGGAGAGCAAGAGGGATCGGTGTGCACCGACCCCTCTCGCTCTCCAGGCTACAGCCGGCTATCCGCAAGCCTTTGGAGCACAGCGGGAACTCCTGCTGCGCTCCAAAGGCTTGCGGATAGCTGCCTGAAGCCCCCGGAGCACAGCAGTAGTTCCCTGCGCTCCGGGGGCTTCAGGCGGCTTCAGCGAAAGCAACGTGAAGCCTCCGGAGCGCGGGGAGAGCTCTCCCTCTGTGCTTCGGAGGCTTCGCATTGCTATCGCTGAAACCAAGGAGCCTGCATTCGCTCCATAGGAAGCATACACATTTCCCTTTCATTTTTGGAGGGGGAAAAGTGCGTCCTATAGAGCGAAAAATACGGTAACTAAGGCATGCTGTGGCCAAAGTGAAATACAACACTGAGCAGTATCAGCTCCCCCTCTTCCTCCTTTTTGTCTAGGAACAGCCAGTAGATCAAAATGTGTGACCCAACATTATCACCTTTCCAATTTCCCTGCCTCTGCAAGTGGTAGCCAATGAAATGTGAGCATGGGAATGACGGCGTTGTGTCATGTTTCTGGTTCTATCAGAGAGAGAGAGGAGAGGCAGAATGTAAGATTTTTTTAAAAAACTTTCATATATCTGGGTCTGCCATAAATGTCTAGTGTCCATGAAATTTTGCCTGTATTTTAAAGGGATAAAGGGGGGGGAGGGATGGACACACAAGAATTATCACCAAAACCCATGTCTTGGTATTTCCTATCTGGTGTTTAATATATACATTTTGTAATTGAGGCTCGTCCCAGCCAAATACCTCATACGAAGCGACCGTAACTTTCAGCTAAAAGTAAATCCGGCTGACTGTCGTTTTAATGTGGGCACTGAATATAAACTGTTAGTACTTGTTTCTTCTGAAAACAAAGTAGAACCAGATGCTGAAATACCGTGTGGTCTAATTGCTTATTCAACAGCATCAACTAAAACGACAAGAATTGCACAGAATTATAGAGATAACACCAGGAACTACAAATGTGAGCAAAAATACGGAACCACATTTAAAATAAAATAGAAATAAAATCCACTTCTGAATCTGAAAAAGGCAATGAATGTAACAGCCATCTTTTCCACAGGGCTCAGAAATTAAATGCCTGATTCGCAAATAACTTAATTCATAAATACACACTAATCATACACAGTATTAAGAATCCCAAGTGCTTAGTGCAACTCACTGTAGGTACCCCAGAGAATCATGTCCAATAAAGAAAAGGCTCGCCTCCTTAGTTACAAGGTTCCCGAGTTACTTCAGCTTTGCATTTTGCTCTAAATGTTAGAAAGAGTTTTGCAGTTTGATGCCAGTGTTTTGGTTAAAGCTGAAACTAACTAAGGCATGCTGTGGCCAAAGTGAAATACAACATTTCAGCATGTTTTAACTCTCCCTGTGAAATCAGCAGGATTTAAAGTGCTTAACATTGGCTTCACAGTTCCAAAGATAAATGGAATGAATTATTTGTATTTTTTGCCCACTCCAGACTACTGGGGCAGTCAGTTCTGAGGGGCAAATTTCCAATTAAAATTTGGCTAATGAGCAGCCTTGCAGTGTTCACCTTTAATTTTCATAGCAGCCAATATGCAAAGAGAACCATAGCTTAGACGAAGAGCACTTGCTGCCCATGAGGAAGGTTCCACATTCAATCCCCAGCATCTCTATTAAAAAATAAAATTAAGTAGCATGTGTTATAAAAGATCCAGAGGCCCAGGGGAGCTGTTGCCAGTCAGGGTAGAGAATACTGGGGTAGATGGACAGATATTGGACTTGGCAGAAGGCAGCCTTCTTTGTTCTAACACTTCCCTTTATTTGTGAATTCATCACTTCTGAATTTAAACCCCGAGTTTTGCTTGCACGACCTCTGCATGTGAGCAAATGCACTAATAATAATAATAATAATAATAATAATAATAATAATAATAATAATAATTTATTTATACCCCGCCCATCTGGCTGGGCTTCCCCAGCCACTCTGGGCGGCTTCCAAAAAAATATTAAAATACTGTAATACATCAAACATTAAAAGCTTCCCTAAACAGGGCTGCCTTCAGATGTCTTCTAAAAGTCTGGTAGTTGATAAAGTCTGGTTCTTGATGAAGGTTGCTCTTTTTCCAGCACAGCTCTTAAGAGCTTTTGCAGCTGAGATGCTACAGCAACACCCTTTCCCTTCCTCGTAATAAATTGCACGAACTTTGAAATGATAAAATGACGAGCCAAATTCCTCAATGAATTGTTTCTGAACTGGAGTCTGCGCAACTACCCCAGGGAAGAATTTAGCTCATCATACCAGAAACAGGTTTAGTTTCCCCAGTCTACTTATTTTACTGAGGAGGAAAGGGTAATTGCCCATAACCGTAGCTGCAGCGGACTTTCTGAGTTGCTTTGCAGAATGGCACTGACTCTCTTCCTGTGGGACCTTTAAGTCATCTCTGTAGCTAGAACTAGGAAGCCACTATGATAAAAGGAAACTGCAAAAGACGTGGAAGAGAAGTAGCAGCAGGAATGAAAGATGTTTAGAAATGCTGCAGCTGTGTTATTATTATTTTTTACCTTCGTGTCGCCAAACATGGCTGGCAGATTGTGCGTTTTGGTCCCTAAGTCTAAGTGATAAAGGATATCTTCATCCATTAAATCCAAGTGAGGGTTCATAACATAAACAAGTCCATTCCTAGGGAGGAAAAAAGAGAGAGAGAGAGGGAAAAAAACACTCCAATGAAAGAAGCACAAAAGAGGAAACTGTGAAATAAGATACAACCACCCTAAATTTCATGCAAGTTGTTAGATTGCCTCGTTATATATTAATAATGCTGAGGCCCGAAGAGAAAGAAAGAGGACTTGGGTCTAAGCCAGGCTCTTTCCAGATGATTGATTTTTTTTGTACAGAAAATGTGCATTTGTTCTCCGTTTGGTATGCTGACTGCAGACCTCTTCCCTGAAGGTTCTAATTCTCAGTGTTTTCCAACACTATACTTCGTACTTCAGAAAATATGATTTCACCCTACACGTACACTCCCAGATAAATTGTGTTGCTACTCTGATTGCCCTCTGGAATGAAGTTGTGTGGCTGCCATAGACCCCTTTGTGACTAAGGGTGGGTGGATCTGTTACTTTTTATTTCTCTTGGTTTCTCATTTTTCCAAGTTTAATTTCAGTTCTGGGTTTCCCTTTGGAGCAGATTTGGGGAGGCATAGCAGCGGTCGGGGGGGTGGGTGGGGGAGAATTATAGGGAGAGGAAAATAAGGGGAACTATTCTGTTGGATACTATCCAATAGTTTCAACTGTTTTTTTGAAAATAGAGCCCCTAGTATAAAGAAGTTCCCATTATATGAAAGTATCTGGCCAGAACTACATAATATGGAGGATTTATGGAGGCTGCTAAAAACACTCGCTCCTATCTTCCGCTTCCCTTGTAGCACCTAGTACTGTATAACACATGACATGATGTTGCACTACTGAGAGTTCATTCACTAAAAGCTGCAACCAGTGAGAAAGAGCAAGTTCCATTGTGTAAGCAGAAGCCCTTGTGCTAACAGGACAACTTTGTTGCATGTGACTCCATGGCTGGACTTCATTGGCAGAGAGGGAGATCTGGGGTGTCTGGGTCACCCGCCCAGCCTTCTTAACGTTGTGCCTTTGATTTCCTTAATTCCATAAAATGGAAGTTCTCTGTGGCAGTGCCTTTCCTGCAGTATTCCAAAATTATCTCGTAAGAACCTAAGAAGAGCCCTGCTGGATCAGACCATGGCTCTATATCTGTTAAGTTGTGGGTGAACATATCAGACGACAGAGCGATTCTTCCAAAGCAGCTCTTTATTTGTAAGCTGGAACAGAACTGAACTGAAGAGCTCAGTCAGCCTGCTTATATAAAGCTCCAGAACAACGTAACTGTAGCAACTTTCTAAAACTATCCAATCACTGAATGTCACTTTCGATCCTTCATTTGCATACAAACTATCCAATCACTGAACGTCACTTTTGATCCTTCATTTGCATAACTATCTACAGTATCCCCCTGTTGGCCCAGGGTGAGAACTTCAGTACATAACAATATCCTATTTCTCACATCTAGCCAATCATAAGCCCACAAGCTGAGCATGGAATTCGTCCTCTGCTGTTGTCAGCCAGCAACTTGGATCCAATGGCATACTTTCTCTGCATATGGTTCTGTTGAGCTATATATAATATTTAGTGGCAGCTGCAAATGAATAGCTTGGGTTTTTAAAAAAAAAAATGGCAGTCATGGATTAGCTTTCACAATGGAGGAGAGCTCTTCAAGTGAGCAGCGCATCACTGGATTAATCTGTTCACTGAAATGAGGCTTTCACTTGACCTTTAAATATACGGACGCCCTTGTCAGATTAATTGCTCCTAATAACATCAGGACTTGCCTCAAATGGCTGGATGGAAAGTTATTTGGACCTTTGGGATCTTAATCATATTGCAGAGGGTGTTGGCATGAAAGGCCCTTGGGGTGCCCCCTTTTGGACCTCCTGCTGTTTCACTGGCAATCCTAAAGATATTATTGTCTTAAGGAAATATCTGGGTTTCTTATGTGATCAAGCCAGTTCCGATTCCCACTCTCAAAACATTTGCATACTGTGGCATTTGAGCTGTTCAGTACATGTGCAGCTTTGAATCTAATCCTGAGTATGCTTACTTGGGAGTAGGACAGCCTATTTAAGCCTGCCAGGCTTCCCCATTTGGTCCACAGGCTGTTTTGGGCAAACCATGTCTACCTGCTGACAACCACCTTACATCTAAGGTAGTTAAAGAGATCGTTTATCTCCAATCTAAAGACCACAGCATTAAGATAAGAGAGAAGCCCACAGTGCTAACATAAGAGGTAAGCTCTCTGCCTGTTCTTTCTGAAGAGACAGAGGTTTGTCTCTGATCTCAGAACTGTGGTGCTTAGCACTGAGCTGGGGAGGTAAAATCCCTCTGCCTTTTTAGAAAGCCTCTCTAAAGATCAAGCAGAGGCATATTTCCAACCACCCACACCTCAGTGCTGGAGTGGAGAAAAGTGGAAATGCTAATTATGTGTGTGAGCCTGCCTGGCTGCTTCCTTGCCTGGTGTGTGTGTGTGTGTATGTGTGGGACAGGGAGAGAGTGATATGTGTCTGGAACAAGGGGTGGGGTGCATTTTATTTTTTGAGGGTGGGTGTTTTGCCTCAACCATTTTTGCCCTACCCGCCATTGTAATGTGGCCTCTTGAAAGGCTGGGGAATTTTCAATCCAGCCCCTGGGAAATACCATATTTTTTACTCTATAAGACTCACTTTTTCCCTCCTAAAAAGTAAGGGGAAATGTGTGTGCGTCTTATGGAGCGAATGCAGGCTGCGCAGCTATCCCAGAAGCCAGAACAGCAAGAGGGATTGCTGCTTTCACTGCACAGCAATCCCTCTTGCTGTTCTGGCTTCTGAGATTCAGAATATTTTTTTTCTTGTTTTCCTCCTCCAAAAACTAGGTGCGTCTTGTGGTCTCGTGCGTCTTATAGAGCGAAAAATACGGTAAGCTGTCTGGGAAAGCAGAACTGGAATGGAAGGTGCAGGTGTTTTGGAAAAGGAGAAATGGGGTGAATATTTGGCTGAGAAGGTGGAAGGAGAAAGGTGTCATTGTTTGGTGTTTGAGAGAGGGTGCACATGTGAGCATAGGCTAGGAAACAGGAAGAAGGGAGAAACAGAAAGGAGAGAGAGGTGATGGATCCAGAGAGAATAAAAACAGAAGGGATGGAGTTTTACTGTCACAATAATGAGAATGGCAAGAAAAGGAGGGGAGAACCTTGGTGACAGGTCAAATAAGATTTATTTGCTTATTCATTTATTTATCCATATGTGTATACCGCTCTCAGTGTGCATGGTGCCATGCAGAGTGCAAGCGGCAGGTCCTTGCTTTGAGGAGCTTACACAAAAAGGAAAATATTCCGTTGGAACTGACAGAAACAAGCTGGTCACATAAAACAAACCAAGTGGCATCAGACAACAGGAAACAAACAGGCTGAAAACATACCAGTGAATGGCAAAGTAGGAGGTAAAAGATTGTTAGCTGGGATTCCATTGTTTCCATAGTCCGTTTGTTCAAGGGGCATTTGTACTGTTGACCCTAAATCCACCCACAAACACCAGCCTTTCCCTCCCAGCTCTTCTGGCCCTTGTGATTCATTCTGGTTTGGCTGCCATGCCAGCACCTGTCTCTATTTTGCTGCCAGAACTTTCTGCTGCCTCTCTTGGGTCCTTCTGCAGCTGCCTTCCCCCCCACAAGCTTCTTGTTTCCAAATAATTCAGCAGGCGGACTTTGCATGTCTACTGTTGCACCACTTGTTTCCAAAAATGGCAAGTGGGGTCCAAAGCAAGCAAGTGCAAAATCTGAGGGAAGGAGGCCATGACAGAGGTTTATAGAACTAGATATGGTGTGGGGAATATAGAAATAAGCTTTCCCGCCCCTTCATCTCTCATAATACTTGAGTCCTGGGGGTCCTACAAGGAAGTTGAATGATGGGTGATTCAGGAGAAGCACAATCAAGCACTTCCCTTTTAATGTAGTTTTAATGTAAAAAGGTAAAGGTAAAGGTACCCCTGCCTGTACGGGCCAGTCTTGACAGACTCTGGGGTTGTGCGCCCATCTCACTTAAGAGGCCAGGGGCCAGCGCTGTCCGGAGACACTTCTGGGTCACGTGGCCAGCGTGACAAAGCTGCATCTGGCGAGCCAGAGCCGCACACGGAAACGCCGTTTACCTTCCCGCCAGTAAGCGGTCCCTATTTATCTACTTGCACCTGGTGGTGCTTTCGAACTGCTAGGTTGGCAGGCGCTGGGACCGAGCAACGGGAGCGCACCCCGCCGCGGGGATTCGAACCGCCGACCTTTCGATCGGCAAGCCCTAGGCGCTGAGGCTTTTACCCACAGCGCCACCCACATAGTTTTAATGTAGAGTGTAGTTAAGCTCTGGAACTTGCTACCGCAAGGTGAGGTGATATCCACCAACTTAGACAGCTTTAAAGGGGGGGGGGTCAGACAAATTTACATAGGCTATCAGTGGTTACAAATCATGATAACTATATGTCAACTTCATTGACAGAGTCCCTATATCTCTGAATACCAGCCTGGAGGAGTGGAGTCACAATTCTAACTTTCTAGCAGCAGTGTTGCTGCCACTTGCCAGCAAGGGGCAGAGATGAAGGTAGCAGGGAAGTTGGAGCTGTGCACAGGGGCACGGACACACTTTCCCAGAAAGCAGCAGCTGGTATGGAGCTAGTGTTGTGGCTCTAGCCCATTGGTTGAGTCACTTCTTGCTACCGCTCTCCCCGTGACTTGTTTGTGGGTTTCTCAGAGTGAAATATACTCGGAGTCCTGCAGTGATTTCATGCTCTTTATTGCCGCTTGTAAAACAGTGACTGAATTTCCCCCCAAACCTCAGGCCTTTATATACATTATTTACACAATGAGTCCCGTCTGATTGGCTGATTCTGCTTCCCTCCTGGAGCCTGATTGTCTTTTCCTGCAGACCAATCAGTTGTTGCATTCTATGATCCTACCAGCCTATTGTTCTAGGATCCAAGCTTAGTACATAACACAGAGGTTGGTCACAGTGGGAGATGGGATGCTGAGCTCGAAAGGTCAGATCCTGCAGAGTTTCTCTTACGTTCTAATCCAGGCATAGGCAAACTCTGGCCCTCCAGATGTTTGGGACTACAATTCCCATCATCCCTAGCTAACAGGACCGGTGGTCAGGGATGATGGGAATTGTAGTCACAAACATCTGGAGGGCCGGAGTTTGCCTATGCCTGTTCTAATCTGATGAAATTTTGTAATGCTTGTAGTACGTACTGGAGCTCATTGAACACTGCTTATTTCACATGTTTTGACTCTCCTCACCCAGCTCCATTTTTGCAAATTTATTTCCACAGGGTTCTTTTAAGCATTTTAAGGTTGTGTTTATCTTTCATTTGCTGTTGTAGTGCCAAGAATCAATCTTCAAATAGTAAACCTGACATTGCAGAGTATAATGATGGGAGGGACTTAAGCACAATCCTATATATTTCTACTTGGACGTAACTCTAATTAAAATCAGTGAAACTTACTCCCGGGTAAGTGTGTATAGGAGACTGCAATCTCAGTTAGCTCACAGCTTTAGGATAATCAAAAGTATAAATTACTCCAAAGTGGATAGCACAAGCCAAGGTGCATAAATGTGTTGGACTGAGACCCAAATACTTAAGGTTATCTCCACTACATTACTCTAAATTCTAAAAGATGCATATATTATATTAGGGTTGCCAATTAGTTTAAGATTTGTAGTTTAATTAATCAGCTTCCTTTCAACCAAGCAACTGATTTGTCACTATCCAGCAAAGTTAACCACTTTCACATCCTATTGATTTCAGAGAGTTAAAACATGTGTTTTTAAACCTCTTCCACTTAAATTTATGTTCTTTACTTTAGCCAGATCATGAACAAATTTAATATTACAACATTTTAATACTGGAGGTAGATTTGAGGTTGTATTTGAAGAATTGGTAGGTAAAGAATATTATTCTCCTTGGCAAAAGAGCACAAGGAGGGGTTTCTTTTGTTGTCCACGTGCTTTATTGAAGACATTTATAGATTACTTAATCAATGGCATTTCTAAGCAGTGTGCATTAAAATAAACCACAAATGAAACAATAAAAATTAATTATAAAACCAAACACTATCTTAAAATGCCTGATGGAACAAAAAAGTGTCCATGGCAAAAAAGCGTCCATGGCAGAGCAAAATGTGGATTTGCACTGGTCTGACCCTGCAACAAAACAGGGGCATCCCCACGACATTCTCCCCATTCCAGTATTATCCCAGATCTTTCCCTCTTTAAATGTGGGAGTTTTCAATCCTTGGCCTGGATTGAGAAACCTTGCATTTAAGGGGGAAAGGTGCCACAACAGCAGCAAGAATACTTATCGCAAAGTATTGGAAGACAGAAGAACTACCCACCGTGGAAGAATGGCAGATGAAAGTTATAGACTATATGGGACTGGCAGAGATGACCGGCAGAATCCGAGACCAGGGGAAAGAGGCGGCGGAAGAAGATTGGAAGAAATTTAAAGACTATCTTAAGAAATATTGTAAAATTGTTGAATGTTAAGACGATGTTGATTCTGAAATTAAGGGGTGGCTAGCTGTAACTATTATGTAAATATGAAAAGAAAGCTTTAAAATTTAATAGAAATTAAGGGAAGGATGTGTTGAAGAGAATTAATTAGAGAATGGAATGCAGTAAGGAAAGGTATGAGGAGGTCGGGAAAGTAAGTTTCATGAACATAAGGGAATGAAGTTATACATGGGTTTTTTTGTTTTTTTGTATGTATTTTTGATTTTCATTTTTGTGTTTTTTGTGATTTTTATGTTTTAAAAATTTGTGAAAATGCTAATAAATATTTTTTTAAAAAAAAATAATAAGGGGGAAAGGTCCAGGACAACATTGGGATGGCATACCCTCCAACATTTCTCCACTGAAAATAGGGACACCCCATTCCATAATGATAATTTTACTATTTATACCCCATACATCTTAGTGGGTTGCCTCAGCTATTCTGAGCAGCTTCTAACATATATATAATAATAATAAAACATGAAACATTAAAAACAACAACTTCCCTATACAGGATTCCTTCAGACGGCTGGGGGGTCGAATAGCTCCATACCCTCCAACATGAAAAAAGGGACATTCTAAGGAAAAGTGGGACATTCCGGGATCAAATCAGAAACCAGGACGGCTTTTCAAAATCAGGGATGCCCCTGGAAAATAGGGACCCTTGGAGGGTCTGGGATGGGGCGGTTGTCAAGATCCAGTGTGGACAAGCCCCTTAGTCATGTGCCTAAAGCTCAACAAGGACAGTACCTGTCTAGTCTCAGGCTTGGGCCCATGACACCAAATGTACAGATATGTTACATGCACACTGAAGCAACAACACATGAACCTTAAACAATCTGTTCCTTTCTCAGTGCCCCCCTAGTTTCTAGAAGAGGATTTTATAGAGGAGATGGGATATGCATAAGATTCTTGAGGGTTACCTTGAGATTCCCTCACGGAATAAATTCGGGGTAAAAATAAATGCCAAAAAAGTAAGTACCAAATAAAAACTAATTTGGGTGGCTCAGTTTGAAGAGCTATTTGAGGAAATGCAACTTCAAAAACCCAAAAGCAAATGTGGATTAGGTAGGTACATTTCTGGATCACATCCGTTGTTTGAAACAAGGAATGTTCGTTGGTTGAGTAATATTTTCAGCACGGCAGGCTTTGCACAGGGTAGGATCCATTTAAAGTTTAATTTAAACCCCATAGTTTCAATCTTTCAATTTGTGATAGCAAATCAATCAATAGATCATTCTACCCATTCATGAATTGCTAATTATTGCTTCAGGCCTTCCTCCTAAAATCATTGCTTCCTGCTAAACTTAGCAAAGGCAAGCACATTCATATGTTTTGTTTATTAGACTGAACCTAGTTTGGACTGCCTCTTTTATAATTATTGTAATATTTTTTTGCCCCGTCACTTTGATTAAAGCCTGTGTTTCAATCTACATTTAAATTAAAATGATATTCAAAAGACGCAAGAGCTTTTGATTGCATCCTTTCTCCAATCATAATTGCAAATGGAAAGGGCTGACTACATAGGAATGCAAGTCCATGTTTAGTTATCAAAACAAAATCTAATGCATCAGAACAATTTGTAAAAAAAATAATGAGTGGTATTCAACTAAATGGTTACACTAGTGCACCAACCTTTAGCTGTACAATGTAACTTTCCCATCCTTTTCTACCATTCCCTCCATAGATCCACTAAATGTGTTCCATTGCCCCCCTTCCCATTCTCTGTAGCAGATTTAGGGGGCACTTGGGGAATGGGGGGAATTACATTGCACAGCTAAAAGTCATTACACAATATAACTGTTCACTTAAAGACTGCCCTATGGGTCTGAATAATCTGTATGGAGTAGCTCATAAGAGCTGTGGAAGGACTGGATCTACACAATACAGCAAAACACAACACTTTGCCCGTTTACAGTCATGATACACTGGTATCTCACACAGACAGACAAACCTGGGGAGATTATTTAGGAACTGGGTGTGTAAATTACTTACCCATTGTAACTGTTCATTTCAGTCTTGCTGGCTCCAGCTAAAAGAAATGTCATAGTTTCCAATTTTCCCAGGACAACTCCGAAGCAGACACAAAGGAAAGGCTATCCTGTGAAAACACAAGATAGCACACAAAGTATTTGCAGCAGCTATCTAAGATATATGAATGATATATTGTTATCTGTTACTTCCAAATGATTTACAGGAATGGTCCCAGTCACTGTTTGTTCTCCGATGCACCAGGTGTAGAATAGTGTGTCTCTTCCAGCTGCAAGTTATGCCTGGATCGCCCATAGCCTCAGATTGGCTGTTTTTGAAGGTGTGGCATTTTCCCTGGACTTTCCCTGGACTTGCATTACCAGGCTTAGCAAGACAAACAGGCCATGGCTGGTTAACCTTCTGCTACTGATGTCCAATTCTCCTTGGCCAGAGCCCCACATCTACAGTTTGGCAGCCATCCCTGCAGGAGGCACCCTGAAGGGTTCGGCCTGTTTTTTCTTAAAACGTGAGCATGTTCCACGTGAGAAAAATATATAAGGTAGATGTGATAAACAAGGTTTAAAAGGTACATTAGGTGGGATTAACTGAGCAAGCATCAGTGGCTAAACGTCCGAGCTTTATACAAACATTGAGTTAGATTTTAACTTGCGTTGGTTTCCATTTCTTGTGCGTAAACAAAACCAAGGCCTCCGCATGAACTTTCAGTTACTGCTGATTTGAGGATTGCGCTAAAAAAGGGCCAAAGATCAAGAGAAGGTTGAAGAATACTATATTGTCTCTGAGATTTTATGTTGAATCAGAACAACACTTCCCAATGATTTTCAATAGCATCCATAATTTCAGATTTGCCTTTGGACAATCATACAATTATAAGGGTGTAATTCACTTTCCCATATCAGAGTAAAATATTTTCTTACTCAGATGTAAAATAAGTCACGCTTCCCCACACTTTCTAATGCATTTTCTCATCATTTTCCTTTTTGCCAGAAGTCAGCTTTTATTTTGGAAGTGTTTTTTTTGTGTGTGTGTGTGTGCAAGAGAGCCATACTGCTTTAATCCACTTTAATTGAACAAACCTAAATTCCCTCTCGCAAAATAGTGACATTCTAAAGCAGACCTTACTGTAGCCTGACTTTACTGCCTTTTCAAAAATGCAGCCTGCCCCTTTATTTTAAATATATTATTCGACTGTATTTTTGTATTTTATTGTTTCGTAACCTTTTGTAGACTTCCCAGGAGACTTCACTGATATGTGGTATATAGCATTGTAAATAAATTAGTAAATAACTCTGCTTTCAATACACCTAGCTTACCTAATCTTTAACAGACTGGAGGGAAGATCTGCTTCTGCCCCATTCAGAAGACTTACGGAAGATCTAACAATTTGCTTCCATGGAAATACATCACCAGAATATTCTAGTTTATTAACTCTCCTTTGTCAAGTCCAGGACTCTGGCTAGATATTGTCTCAGAGTAGGGTTGCACACCTGATATGCGCCTCCTGGACTAGTGTGTGGATCCCAACATCAGTTTTCTTCTGACTTTGCTCTTATCCAAATGTTGCAATGCAGTTCTTAGTTCAAAAATGTACTAGAAGAATGAAAACCAAAAGATTTGTAGCAGGGTTTCTGTGATCCCTGGTGGCCTTTTAAGACAAAAGTAAACAAGCCAGTAAAAAAAACACACCATGAAACTGGAAGAAAAAGAAATTACAAGTGTGCAGATAGAACAGACCAGCTACTTATTTTATATTGCTGGCTTCCATCGCTACATTTATCTACCAATCTCCCTGTCAGACTTTTAGATCCAAGTCTGTGTGAACAAGCCTGTTTGAAGATTTTCTTTTCTTTAATGGATGCTTGTGCTCCTTATTGCTTTTTTACGAATTAGTTTTAACCGTGCTTTTATTTTTTATCTCTTCTCATGTGGGTAAACAGTGCATAAATGGGGGCTTTCCACTCCTTTTTGAAAAATGGGGGCAGTCTGTGATATGTTCAATTAAAATTTTGCATTCGTGGGAAAGTAACGAGGTAGTTGTAACCTTGCCCTCTTTCCTAGAGTGTTATTTTGTTCACAACCATTCCTTTCTTCTTCCAGGCGTCTTTATTCAACAATTCTTTCAACTCAGTGACTCAGCAAGCATGCTGATTGCATCGGGGGGGCTAAGGTCTTAAGACTTTCTCGTACTGCTAATTATGTGTATAGGTGTAGCAGTGACCAGAACTGAAGGAAGGTGACAATTTCAGAAGCAAGCACTATCTGTGTGTGACCTCAGAGAGGGCTGAGGCCCCTGATTCAACCTCATTACAGCGAAACACATTAGGTAGTGTGGCAAAGGCTTCCTTTCAAGTAGGACAGCACAGGCCACCAGATGTTTACTGCTTGAGAAACTGTCTTGTGCATTCACCCAGTCTTCGGAAGAAAAAGCTTAGCACAATTCTCCACCTTATCAGAAATCCAGGGGTGTGGTAACACTCTCCTAACCACTTGATGACCAGTTTATGAAGTGATTTATATATATATTTCATACACTTATATTCTACCTTTTCTATCATCATGGATAGAGGTGGCATAATGGTGTCCTGTTCTGGTCTTGCAGAGGGCATATTGGAGTAAGCAAATTCCTCCAACCAAAACCACAGATGAACTAAGGCCCTTTGAGCCTCTGCCTACAGTCCATTTCTCTCAGGTTTCCTCCCACTTTTGAGAACAACAGTCCTTAAATGCCCATCCCTCTGGCCTGCAGAAGGTGCCCATGAGGGTGCCAATTGTGGTTCTGTGGTTCCCTGGCATAGTGGGATCTGGCCCAGGGGGCTTCTGCTTGCCCCTGATGACCAGCATCAATCTGAGGAATCTTATCTGGCTTCTTAATTAGGGTGTCTGCAGCCTTTGATTCTGACAGTCACTGATGGACTCTGGCATCATGACTCCAGGTAAGTTTCCCATCCAGGCATGGACCAGACCTAGACCTACGAAGAACACAAGAAGAGACCTGCTGGAGGTCCATCTAGTACAGCATTCTGTTCCTACAGTTGCCAATGAGATATCTATGGTGTAGGATAACCAGCCTCATATAACCAACATGCTTAAGTCCAATTATTGCATAAAGCAGCCTTTCTCAACCTGTAGGTCCCCAGACTATAACTCCCATCACCCCTAGCTAGCAAGGCCAGAGCTTAGGGATGATGGGAGTTGTAGTTCAACAACATCTGAGGACCCAAAGGCTGAGAACTGCTGGATAAAGTAAGCTGTCCTGCCAGGCTTGGCTCACCTTTGAGAGAAGAGTTTGTAAGTAAAACATTTTTAACTTACCAAACGTGTAGTCGTCTTCTATGGAAGTAACTTAGAAGGGAATCTTTTAAAAGTCTTAACAGCCTATATCTCCATGCTTGACTTTGCTGCGTATTTTGCAATTTTAAATTTCTGCTGGGGTTTGGATCCAAAACCTGGATCTTGGAATCCAGGAATCCTCTTTTTGTACCATGTGAGAAGGTCATAGGCAGCACTCTCCTGCTCATATTCCCCATCAACTGATATTCTGAGGCATACTGAAGGTAATATAGCCATTGATAGCCTTATCCCCCATAAAAAGGTCTATTTGTTGTTGGTGGCCATCACTGCAACCTGCAGTAGTGAATTCAATAGTTTAATTATGTACTGGGTGAATAAATGCTTCCTTTTTTGGTAGTTCGTTGATCTTCATTGGATGACTCCAGATTCTAATATTATGAGATTACTGCTATGTGCTCTTAGACGACGCCCTTGTTAAGTGAACACCATCTTAGCTTACCATCTGGCAAAGTTTGCTTGAATTCCTCAACCTTTCTCAAAGGGGAAAATCATCTCCACGCTCTGATGTTTTTAGCAATAAACTTAAGTCTCAGCTCTTGTACTCAGCACTTTCAACGGTACATCATGCTAAATTACTGCTTGGCAACTGGTGGTGTATATTCATCCTCAGTAGCCTTCCTATGGTTTGCATTGTCAAATCTTTCTAGCAAATAATAATAAAATAGAGGCATTGTGTGTATATAGAGCACAGATGTATTGGTCAACCAGGCAACTTAAGACAGTTGATGGCATCCTCCTCCAGCATAAAGCAAGGAGGATTCCAAGCTGAGGTTCATAGATTGAAGCCACCACAGTTACGGTAACTTTGTGTTAAATGATGACAGTTGCCTTTGAGACCTAAATCTAAGTCCTACTTGTTGTTCCTGCAAGATAAATGTTACGGCACTGTGTGCCAGTTATTTTCACTTACAAACTTGTCTTGCTGTAGTCAGTCCTCGTGAAAAATGACTGACTAGTTCAGGATGTGCCAAAATGCTAGGCCTGCATTTTCAACAATAGCCTTTATTTCTTCCATCCACTCAGTCTCAGGGCTCTCACATTAACTTTTTTTGGGGGGGGGGGTCGTTTGCCCTTCAACACCTCACTGGCGTTACTGAAATGTGGCACGGCTCCCATTATCTCTGACTCTACCATGCAATCAATGAATTTGATTTTATAGAATTTGTGGTTTTACTGCATACAAAACTAGAAAGTTTGTTGTTGTGACCATATTTAATTGGCAATTTGGCTGTTAAAAATGGCACAGTATACAAAGAACTATGGTCAGATAGTTAATTTTTAAAGAAATTTTAACCCCAGCTTGTAATGCATGCGGATCACTCAGGCAAGCCTACAACAATTAAATCTACAACTTTGTCATGAAATAACAATATACAAAACAAGCAAAATAAGATAAAATAGAGACAGGTCCAGGAGATAAGAAGAAGAAGAATCAGATAAAACATTATCTACTCAGTAAAGCAAAAGCCTGCCAGAATAAAAAAGTATTTCTCAGCCTGGAGGATGATGACAATCAATTTATAGAAAAATTAAGTCTCTTTATCTATTATTGGAACAAGAAAGTTCAGGATAGAATTTATCCTTCCTCTATTTTAGATGGAATGTAATCAGAAGTTGTTTCATTAAATACATGGCAATTATGTGAAAGCAAGTGGTAAAATTCAGTAAAACTCAGCAACACTGGATTGTCTATTTTCATTTTTCTTTCTTTGTTCTGTTGCTATAAGGCCCCCTTATGTCTTCAATATTGTTTCCATATTTCTCTAGTTTTACTTTTTTGACTAAGCATTCTGGTTTTGCTTTCTGCATTATTTTTACGCTAGAAGAATTTGTTGCATCATTTTCCCTGTAGTTATTTGTATATGAATTAATATACAATACAAAAAATAAAAAAGAAGACAGCAAGGCAGGAGGTTACCTGAACTGCAAACGGCAAAGAATTCCATATCTCAGGTGCAGCCACTGAGAAGGCCCTGTTTCTTTCCCCAGTCAATTGCTCTTCCAGTATGGGCATGGCGCAAAGAATAGTCCTTCCACCATATCTCAGAAACCAGACAGGTTGGCATGGGATCAGGCACTGCTCCTTCTGGGAAAATACTGAAACTTAATTGCCACATTGATGGTGATGGGAGGGGGGGAGGGATAGGGCGGGATAGGGATATGCCCTGTGACCCCTTATCAGTAACTTTACACAATAAAAATCTGAAAGCTATCTGACAGCACAATACATACACATTTAAAACCTGCAAAAGTTTGAACAACGGGCTATGTATGCCTACTTGGAATGTTGACTTGAGTCATAGCAATAAAGGAAGCTGCCTTATATTAAGCCAGACCATGGGTCAATTTAGTTGAGTAATTGTGTATCTGCACTGACTGGCTACAACTCTCCAGGGTTTAAGACACAAAAGAGTTTCCTAGCCCTTCCTAAAGTTGCCAGGAATCGAAGCTCAGACCTTCTACAAGCATAGCAGCTGCTCTGAGCCACCGAACTAAAGGCCCTTCCTCAGGGAACTTCTCTCAAATCCCTTTGAGTTCAGTGGGACTTACTCCCAGGTATGCGGTGTCAAGATATTCCTGGCTTGGGCCTAAATTTTGGTCCCGGCCAAAGTGTCAAAACTTTGGTTCAGCAATTATACCTAGACTTCCGGCTGAGGTACGGGATCGTGAGCTAGCTGTCTCTGGCCCTCAATTGCCAGCAGGCCCAAGATTTACGGCACCTGTGTTATCTACAGAAACACAGTATCTCAAGGAAGTACTGTACACGGTCGCTACTTGGAATAACATTTTTCAGTTGTCCTGTCATGGAGGCCATTACCAGACAGAGCGCCTGGAAAGTTACAATTAAGGAGCCCTTTTCCTGGCTGAGGTGAGAGCAGGTAAGAAGGTATTTAAAAATCTACCTCGTATTATTTCTCCCTCCCTCAGCCCCTCAAGAGCTCCTGGCTAGTCCCCCCACTTTTGTCTATCTTTTGTACTTGTCCTGACTGGCACGTCTTGTTGGGGGTCAAAAGAGTGTTTCTAAAGCATTGTAGCTCAGGCTAAGTTATGTTAATTTTGTGTGTTTCTGTATTTTCCCAGATGTGCCTAAATTCTTAATTTGTCTGGCTCTTAAATCTTCTATTCTTATTTGCTGAGAGAGTTCTCGCTACACTGCTGTTTTAGTGTTATATGCTTTACTTTTGTGTGGTTATTTGGACTGAGTGAGTGGACTAGTAAAAGGATTGGTGGTAGCTTACTACCTTGGAGTGTTTTGTTCACCCTGAGGTTTGGACTAAAATTTTCATTCAGCATAGAGAGGCACAGGCCTGGATTTTCGGTGGGGTTTGAACTGCATTTGGGGCAGGAGTTGAGGAAACGGATTCCTTGACATTTGGTGGCAGTGTCATGGTATTAACTATTCTGGGACATATTCAGGTAACTAAAAGACACTCCCATGTCACTCCATAGCTAGGGACTAAAACACCCCTTGTACCCTGCGTCATAAAGAGGATTATTCCAAGACTGTGTGTAGAATCAAACCGTAAAATAGGTCACTTCCTTTAGGGTCCTCATCTCATAAATGCCGGGTTTTTTGCTTAGTTCAAGGTGTTTTTTGTTTTGCTTTATACAAATACAAAATGGTATGTGCCTACTAATACTAATACATTCAGGCCAAAATCAGCTGAGCAGTTTTAAAAAATAATAATAATCTAGTTGAGGCTTGGAAAAGCAGACCTTCAGGTCAAGTTCCACAAAAAGTTGTGCTTTGAACTGAAGAGTATCTGGTGCAGAGAAATGTTGTGAGTTGTGGGTGCCAGGGTTTGTAGGTGCCAGATTCCTCTAAATTCCTGGGTCTGATAGGTGTTAGAATTTAACCAACGTTTGAAGTGTTGAAAAGGCTGGCATACTGGGTTTAACAAAGTATTAAAGTACAGGCCAAACCAGCTTCCCGTGTTCAGGAAATTGCCTGGGAGATCAACCATTAGCCAAAGACAAAAGCCATTAACTAATGACAAATGGGTCATTAGAAAAGCCAGAGGGAGGGGACTCTGAGCCAGATGGAAAATGGGAGGGGGCCCTCCCTCAGCTCTGAGTTACCGTATTTTTCGCTCCATAAGACGCCTTTTTTTCCTCCTAAAAAGCACAGGGAAATGTCTGTGAGTCATATGGAGCGAATCCCAATGGATGACGGGGGGATCCTGCTGCAGTCGTGAGCTGAGGAGGGAGAGAAGGAGAGCCCACTCGCTTTAAAGGAGCAAAGCGGGAGAGGAGCTGCTTACATGGGTGTAAGCGGCTCCTGTCCCGTTGGCTGCTTTAAAGCGACCATGCTCTTTCCCCTTCCTCCTCCCCGCTCAGGTCGCTGAAAAGCAGCAAACCCCTCTCCTGCATTGTTAGCTGCCTCCTTCTCCACACACCCCACTCGTGCTCCTTGTGCCTTCTGTGTTTTTCCTTCCCTCCCCACTTAAAACATGGTTACAAAGCACGGATCCACATGGATCCTCAGGATTTTTGCATTGGGTCACCCCGGGTTCACCATCAGATCACATAGCATGTCCATGGCTACAGCCTGCACCAAAAAAATCACGCACCCACTGTTGCCTGTGGCCGCAATGGCGCAAAAACGTGGTTACAAAGTACAGATCCACATGGATTCTCAGGATTTTTGCATTGGGCTACCCCAAACTCACCGTCAAATCACATGCCTGTGGCCACAACATGAACCACAAAAATCATACATCCACTGTTTCGTTCAGAATATTTTTTTTCCTTGTTTTCCTCCTCTAAAAATAAGGTAGTTTGAAGACAAAAGCAGAGTTTTACAGTTGGTGTATGTGTGTGTGTGCTGTCTTTGGCTTGTATTAGACTGCACAATCAGAAATTTTGAAAAAGAGACTTAAAAATTCCTGAAGAATGTACACTCATCTTTCCCCCTAACTATTAAAGTGTATTAAGTCAATCATAATAATTACTAGGAACAGAGCTATTAATGTTTTATTCACTTAGTATAGTGATAGTTATTAAAACCCTTATCATTTTGTCTAATTAGTATCACTCGCCTATAAAAATATCAAGTAGGAAATGTATTAACTGAGATGGAAAGATGGTGTATTGTAAGTGATTCCATTTTAGAGTGCTTCATATTAAGCAATTTTCTTTTAACCGGCCAGTAGCTTGTCTAGATTGATTCACAACACCTAAAAGGAGGGTATTTAAGTGTTCCAAGCACAGTGTTCCTCATGTTTTCATTACTGCCTTCTGTATTCCATGCCTATATTGTCACCTTATAACACAATTATATCACACAATTTTGACATTCTGAGGTATGAAACTTTGGATCTCATTATTTTCATGTGACGAAACTTTCTTCTGAATGTGTCCTTTTGCGGTTAGATCAATATTGACACTCATTTCTGTGGTAAATGATCAAAGCTACAGTTTCCAAGTACACGATAAATATCACATCTCAGCATGTGGGAAGCACACTCAGAAGAAAGCTTGAGAGGCAAAAGAAAGTTTGAGAAGGAAAAGTCACCTTACTGCGGCTTTATAATGAACCGCCTCTCCTGTTATGCAGAGAGGCAAACCCAGGTTTGCCAGTGGGTGTGCATTCTATGTTTTATATGTGGTTTCACTCAATCCACTTCAGTGTCATCTCTAAAGAGGCACAAAATACCTTCCAATCCAGACCCCAACTGATGGATGAACCTGAACGATGCAAGTGTTTGTGACCGTTGTTGCTTTTTTTGTTTGTCACACTCACATTATATATTTAAAGTTAATCCTTGAAACATTTTAAGTAGACACTTAAAAATGGGAAGTATGGTGTTGCTCTCAATTGAAGCATCATCACCTGGAATCCTTGGGCATGTGTATTCCACCACATACACCCCCTTTTCTGGCCAAGCACTTTGAACAGTGGATTGCTGTGGTTCATAGTGGAAAATTAAAATGGCAGCTAGACACAAGCTGTTACTGGTCCTGTCCACTACCATGGCCCATTGATGCCCAGTGGATCTATGACATTCAGTGATTCTGATGAGTTTTGTGTGTGCCAGCGAGTTTATATATTTCTCCACAAGCAGGAGAGCTGGATCAGAGAACAGGAAACAATTATGTATTATGGAGGCAGATCCATGTAAGGGCTCTTCCTTCAGTGAGGTGACATAGATCAGTGACTGAACATCTGTTTTGCATGGAGAAGGCTCCAGGCTCAATCTCCAGTTAAAAGGGATCAGGCAGGAAGTGATGGAAAGGCCTTTGCTTGAAAACTTGGAGAGCCACTGCCACTCGTAGTAGACAATACTGAGCTAGATAGGCAAATTGTCTGACCTGGTATAAAGGCAGGTTCCCATTTTTCAGTGCTTTCGGTAGCTTAGCAAGTCTGAACTCCTTAAAATACAGTGTAATCAATCACTGGTTCCTGCGGTACCTCAAGCCAAGTATATGTAGGAGAAGCCCTGTTTGGAATTGCTGATGAGCAATGTTTCAAGAACAACTCCTATCTACATGCATCTCAATTTAGATTAGACTGCTTAAAGAACCACACGGTTTCCTGCTACAGTGAATAAGCACAAGACAGCCCAGTCACATCCTTTGCAGCTGAAGGTCACTAGCTTCATAAAAGCAGACAAGAGCCGATCCATAGGTGGAGAAGGCTGTTCTGCTGGTTGCACGGGGCTCATACTCACAGGAGTGAGTTATTGTCAGGTTTTAAATTAACAGTGTGGTGCTCCGTTAGCACAAGCCTCACATTAATACACCATGCAGGAGATGTTCAGTATCCTCTTCCTGCAATAATTTTGAGGGTTTAGTAGGAGAACCAAAAAGAATGACAGCACAGGGAACCATAACAGTGGCTTAAGAGAAATATTAGCCATTAGTCCATGATAATGAAATTACTTAGTTTTACAATTGACTTACTAATTTTAATCTCAATAAGTATTTGTAAGTAGGAAGGAGAGTAGGGCTGTAAGAGAGTTCATTAGTGCTTTATATTGCAAAAATGAATTAAAATTAAATACAGGGGCAATGATAAATAATAAAAAAGATAGTTAAAAGAACTGTGCTAGATGTGATCAACTGTTAAGTTTGGGCTACTTGGGTTTTCTTCTTAGTTTATTATTTCTATAAATCTCATTTTGTTTGTGCCAGTAGGCAGAGAAATACACTAAAATAAATAGAAAAGCAAGAAAGTATTCCTTAGAGAAACTGTAAATCAACTAGAAGCTTTTCTAGACACGGTGCCCCATTGTAGACTTATCTATCTAATTTATACCACACTTTTCTTAGGCTCCCAAAGCAGCATAATAATAAAACAGTTGGTAAAAACCCTAGAATAGCAAACTAAAACACAGAGGAAATTACAAACAACAGTAAATCTATAAAGCAATTTTCATACTGGTGTGCTGTTGGTGAGAAGAAAGAAGAGGTGGGTAGGAATAGAGGAGATACTCAATTCAGTTCACATTTAAAGCTGAATCAATCAAATTATTACTCTCTGAAAAAATATGAGAACCAAAACACAGCCATCCTTCAAAATTCTTATCTGAATTTTGCAATCAGCATGTAGATGAGAAAAGGAAAGTCCACCTGGAAAAAAGACCTGAAGTAGCCTTTGCCTGCTTCCCTCACACAGAGAAATCCACAGATGGGGTACTGCTTCCAAGAAGGCCCTTTCCCCAGGCGTATAAAAACTGGGAGGAAACTGGGAGTGACATCAGGATGTGTGTCTGAGATCTGCACATGCAGAGGGAAGGGTATTGTTTTTTCCCATCATCTAACAGCAACAACAAAAGTAATAATAATTTATACATTTTAGACAATAGTTTTTCATTATTCTGCAATAACTCTCTTTCAAACTGTGAGCTTTGGTCCAAAAATCCAAACATATCATATA